CTGGTTGGACAAATTCAGGTTTGTTTCATATCATGCTCATTTGACATAAGCAACATGAGTACATAGAGATGTCCTGTTTGGTGTTAACAGTGTAGGTTGATGCTGGCAGTGTGGTGGTGTGAGAAATGTTTTCCTGGGGTCCCTGAAATGTCTAACTGGTATTATGTACCTGGACATCATTGCTTACCAGTTTTCTCTCTTTGTGGCTACAGTTTATCCCGACTCAGTTGGACACTTTCAGCCTACCTTCACTGAATGGTACCAGAAAATAACAAGAGTATACATTGCTTCAGTGGCCTGCAGGATCTCGGGATCTTAGCCTTATCAAGCATCTTTGGGATGAGGCAGAAAGGGCTGTTCACAGGAAGACTGTGCAGCCTTCCAATTTCCAGCAACTGTGTAGCGCATTAGTTTCCGCATGATAAAACATTCCTGGACAACACATCCAGCCCCCAACGCATCCTGCAGAATCAATGCCCAGGCAAAGCGACACTGTTTTGAAGGCCAAAAGAGGTGCAATACGGCACTAGACAGGTGCAAGTCCAGGATTTTAGACAGGGGGCCAAAAGCACAAGAGGTGGCACCACCTAATTATATATAGGACAAAATCGGATTTTAAACATATTATAGTACTGACTTCATCTTTGATCTATAGTTCGTAATACTACAACGAAATACAGTATAGAGATCTGCAAGGATTATATCAAAACCATGCTACATGTACATGAATAATTTGTTGACTGAACAAAACACTGAATTTTCTGAATAATGAACAGCTGGTTCATTCGGGAATCAACGACAACCATGTTAAACTTGTGTAAGTTGACGTTAGCTGAAGGGAATTTCTATAGCTCACAAGCTCATTTCTTGTTGACATGACAATGCTCTTTAACATGGAAATCATACTGAAAAAACATAAGGTAATCTAAAATCAACATAACGCCAGCTATGCACAATTCTCCTATGCTCAAGCATAAAAATTTAAAATATTTTGCCAGTCTACACTAAACAAGCAGTAATCTAATCCAGACACATACACACTACAAATAAATGTTAGCTCTGCTTTGAGAAGACACGTAAGCCAAAATATACACAATCAATCTAATACAAGCGTTATTTTGAGTTAAGCGAGGGGCACATTTCAAGAGTGCCATGTAGCCACGCCCTTAACTAATATAACAGCAACTCAGTGTCACAGAGACATGAACTAAAACTCCACAAACTTTGGTGGGCAAAAGTGTCTTGGCTGATCGACTACATTTGAGAGGAGAAAATTGCTCACTGAGCTATTCCTTAAAATTCAGCTTGTATCTGCAATGGGAAGGTGCGTTTCTTCTCAGACCTCAGAACAACCTCCTGATTGTCTGTCTGACCTCAACTAGAAACACATTGCACCTCATGAGCCCTCTATAAAGCCATGCGCTCTGCATTGGCACCAACAACAAAGCGGTAAACACGGAGGGCAAATCTGTCTTCATGCTGCATGGCTGCCAGGGAGCTAAAAGGCCATCCTTTCAACTCATCGCTTCGCAGGCCTGAACGCCGTGGTGTGGTGGACGTTCCCATTAGCCCACACCATCGTTGCCATGCTTTCTGACCTGATACTCACTGAAAGAATGTGTTTCCCCCTGGGTGCATCCCAATACACACCCCCTCTCCCTCCCCAACACTCCTTCTCTCCCACACACACTCCCACTGATGAGGCCAGGCCTTGACGGTCTCCTGCTCTGCTGAATAAAGTCATTGTTGTGGTATGGTGGTGCGTAGGGAGAAGGGGGAAGGACTGGAACACTGGGCCCTCTGTCAGTAGCTCTGGGTGCACCACGGTAGGTCTATAGGCAACGAGAGCCTTTCGGGGGCACCCTGAAGCTTCGAACAGTTAAATGAGAGGCCGAACATGAGAGCTGCATCCAAGAGATACACTCGTTTAGGCTGAACTTGTCCATGACGTAGAGGGATGACGTCAGCGCCGGAGAGAAGAGAGAGAGGCCAAACGACAAAGTCAGAATGCTACGAAAGCGACTGAGTGGATTGAACTTGAAACCAGGGCAACTGCGATCAGCTTCATGTTCATTCTCAGGCTGAAGTATTCCTAAAGGCCTTGTCTATATTCCTGCCGGAAATGTGAATGACAGCTAGAAGTTTTACAGACAGTGAAACAGCAAGCATCAGCTGAAAATGCTCCGCCACTGTTTCCTGGCATTAGTCTATGGCGGTTAGAAAGAAGCCGATGGATGAATGGCAGTGGGTTGGCACAGTTGGGCACACAGAGAGGCTGCCATCTACTTGCCTTGCATACGTACAGTAAGTAAAAGAGCCTCAGGGGAAAAGAAGATTCTTACATAACACATAATATAGCTCTGCTACTCAACAATGGTGACAGTGTTCTCAGCAGAGTTCTTTGGACTGGACAACTGCAAAGTGTAGCATTTTCCATGAACTTACATGCCTGATTTAGTTCATTACCTGGCTACATTTCATGTTACATTTTTTCCTCAAAACACTTGTTTTAACTTGAAAATGAACAAAACATGTTAATTTGACCAGATGGGCCTGGACTTTTACATTTGACTATGTCTGGTGTGTATATTAGTTTGGGTGGTCTGTATTGGCTCTATGCTTTGAACTTTTTAGAGCCATCTATAAAGCTACCTAAATCCAATTAAAGTAACTGAATTGTGAGTAATCAGTTACTTTATACCTCTGGCCTCTGAGCAATCTGAGCAGCTCTGCCATCCCTTCTGGTAGCCTCATATCTCCAATCACCTGCCTGGCCCGGAGGTGAGAGAGGGCATCCTCCACTAGCCTCTCTGACAGGAGAGAGAGCAGCCCAGCATACTGCTCAGGATTAGTTGTTGATTAAGCTGGGGTGGAGTTCAGAGGCGCAGACGGTGGAGGGCCAGGCCTAATCATGCAGAAGGTCTTCAATGAGCCGCTCTGCCAGAGAACAACCCCCTCGTTAGCTCTCCCTGCAGGAGGTGCACCTGTCAGCCTGAGTGCTCGTCATGCCCGGCGCCAAACCCATCTGGGTCACTCCGACTGGGCAGGAGGAGAGAACCGTCTCTCACCTGTCCAAAACCATCCCATCTGCTGCACACATGCACACAAATTACATGTCACAAAGCTAGACAGGGCACACCAAGAAAACCTGACACAAAGAAAGGAAGAAAAGCTAACTTACAAACAGTATGTTGCTTACTTTCTGACTCGATGCACGTCTGTTTAGAGATGCCCAGAAATCCTTCTTTCTTTTTTTCCATGTTTTCCACTATAACATGCAGTCCGCTTCACACTGAGAGAACATATGCCAATGTTAGGGGTGTAACGATGCACTGCGACATTGTGATATTCCGATGCAAAACTGACGATGTGCATCATAGAGATGCGATGACGGACGGTGAAGAACGGGCATTCTGTTAATTATGGCATTAAATGCAACTGTATTGTTTGGTGCTGGTTTGATTTCAAACTTTTGTGCTCAATCAACAACCCACACCAGCATGCTCACTAGTAAGTTGTGCAACAACATGGATACAATTATTGTTTTTCCTAATTTTGCTCAAAATGTTTAAAGTATATTGAATCATAAATTCAGTATTGAGAATCTAACAGAATCATGGGCTGTACCATATTAAATTGTCTCGAATTTTATTAAAATGGAATTTCACTGAGTTTTGAAAATGTCTCTATAATTCTATGTTTAACATCCAAACATGATGTGAAATGCTCTATTCTAGAGAAATTAAAGAGTCAGAATTGTTTACCGTGGTGGTGACAGGAACCAGACATCTGATGCATTTATTGCTCCTAAAAGTTCCCTCACAGAAAATTATTACATTATATTATTATGAATTGGTTGCCTGATGTCTGAGACTTTGTTGTATGATAACTTTGTGATATGGTTTTAGCTCAAAACATATTTTCAATGGCTGAGAGCATGCAGGGTGTTGTTTTTTTAGGTTTATCATCATCTTTATGTATAAAAACTCAAAAGACATGTAGGTTCACTGGCGGTTTTGGATATTAAATAATATGGCCATATTTGTGTTGTAGACACCATGCTCCCTGGTTCTTATCACCACCAGTGTAAAGAAATCTGAGTAAATTTCTCTACAATGAACCACTTCACATCAAACAACTCTGAATGACTTTGTGTACGTCTCAATCATTGAACTGTACAGAAAATTAGGAAAATAGGTAGAATTTCTCTTTTAATGTGCACTTCAATTAAGGAAAATCTTTTAATGCACATGCACTGAACTTGACTTTGCTGTTCTAATGAGCGGAACGAAGAGCATGATCAGTGCTCCTCACAAAGGTCAACACTTTTCATATCGACTTAATTGCATCAGTGTGGTGACTGACTCCATATGGAATAAAATAATGACCTAGATATCACTGTCAGGCAGCCGGAGCGAGTCCACACCCTCTGTCACACATGCAGTCTGCCAAGTGCCGTTCGGAAGACAGCTAGAGACGGGCAGAAAGGAAGCAAGAAGAGTGGAGGGTCGGCAGTTGCACACCGTGCATCAGGCTTGGCATTAGGTGACACCTTTATCTCATAAGGGTTTAGATGGATAGTTCAGCAGAGCATGATAAGAAGGGAGAAAGCTCAGAGAACATGGCTCCAGACTGCTGATAAAGCACACATTTACCTTTTAGAAAGGATCTGCTACCCTGGACAAATGTTAACATGTACTATACAGAGATGGACTTAATATTATTAGTTGTTCTAAATGTACAAACATGAGAACAGAAGAATCGTAAAAGGAATCGAGGCAATTGGTTCATGTTGCACTGCAGTGCAGCATAGCTCAGAAATACTGATAGGCAGGCAATGTACATTTTAGCATGCAACGAAGGGAGCGTTAAAACCACAAGGCGCAAGAAATCGTTTGGCTCCCCCTTCTGACCAAAGCGACAAAATGAAGCCTGGCTAGCACCAGAGTAGACTGAGCTTAAAGACAAAAAAACAGGGAGAGGAAATAAACTGCTCCAAATCTGCTACAAATGTCATTTTTATTATTATCTTAAATAATATCGAAATAAAGGGGCTATGATGATCCACAGAAAAAGACATGCTTTGTGACTTTCATTTTTAAAATGTATATATTTATATATTTATATATATATATATATATATTTATCTTCTTGTCCAGCAGAAATCTATCCAGGGTGAAGAAGAAAACCTCACACGACGAACGAGACACATTACATTCGTGGGCCTTCTCGGCTAGCCGAGGACAGTGTGAGTTGGACCGAGTGGCTTCCTCAGTGTTCAGACTAGAGAACTGGATGCATATCCAAAAACGGGCAGTGATCAAAGTGTGCTGAAATGAGCCCAAATCTCAATGTCAAAAATTAAAACGCTGCTGCTATTTTTTCTTATAAAAACTTTTCAAAAACAAGAACCTGGATACATTTCTACTTTTCCAAAATTAACAATTCTTTACTATTAAAAAAGACAAAAGAAACAGAGAAAACACACAAAGGAGAAATAAAGAAAGAAAAAAGGAAAAAAAAAACAGCTATCATTATAATCAACTCCCTTTGGTAAAAACTGTAATAAACTCGTCTTGCATGTTTTCATCTTTTTTCCTCCCCATTTGCGCACTAACTTCAGCCGTCTCTCTCTATTGTCCACAGTAAGCCTGTAAAGTTTCACTAGCACAACAACACAGGTCTCTGTCATAAAAAAGGTCTGGCAATATATACAATTTATTTACAAATAGTGAACTGTGTTCTGTATGTGGATAGTCCATTATTAATAATCAGGCGTGTGAGTATGTTTGTGAGTGTGTGTGTGTGTGTGTGTGTGTATGTATATATGTGTGTGTGTGTACACGAGCTGGTGTATTGGCATTGGGCTTCGCCAGCAACTTTGTAAGGCTTGCAGCCAGGGCGGCCAGCACAAACTGTGGTCATGTCACATTCTGACATTCAAAACATACAATTATACAGAGTGTGAGCATTTGGAAGCTCATTCATTCTTCTGCTAAATTCATCAGTGCTTTCTTTTATACTTTTCACAGCACTATGGGACACAGGTCCAAGATCTTTATTGCTGTCTGTTCTGTCGAAGTTTTTTGCCGTTTTAGTTTTTTTCCTTTTTCATTTTAAATAAAAACATTGTACTCTTAGAGTTTGTTCGTTATGACATATAGGACATCAGAATGGGAAATCATTTGAGCTTATTTTAATGATGGTGCCTCTTGAGCTTCCTATACTTTGGTTGGATAACTAAAGATTTATCTCTGCAAAGTTAAGTGCACTTATCCCAAAACAAGAACTAAAACTGGTTGCTGCTACTGTTCTGTTCTTGAAAAACTATTTCATTCTCCCCCCCAACTTGTTTACCAATTGTGCCCATTCACTGAAAAAAACTATAAAACCCAACCTGGCAACCAGGTGAAGGTACAGTCAGATCCTCACCTTAAGACACAGCCTTATGACCTGTACATACAATAATACATTAATGCCTTTTAACCTGTCCCATCAAAACCCCTGCACCACAGCCTGGCCCATCTAGACTCCAGCCATCAGTGTTCTTTGCTGGGCTGATAAACTCCAGAACTGGCTGGTTCTAGACTAATTTAGGCACACAGACTGTGCCTCTGCTTGACGGACAGGTCCTTCTTCCCAAGGTTTGGCACTGAGGGACAAGCGGGCACAAGTACAGCTAAAAACGCTGTTAAAAACTAAGACGTATGCCAGCCGCCACTGGTGTGACATGAGAGCGCTGAGGCTTAGCCTTGTGCTGTCATGTCATCCTTAGAAAGTTGTTGATAAGTCCGCTTTCCTTCCCTGCCCACTACTGCCTCCTACTGCCTCCTCCCATAAACCAAAGACCCCCTTGCCCCATCTACTGCCTGGGGTCAGGGAGTTTTGTAGCTGCTGCTGTATTTGACTTTGTACTTGTTGATGTTCCTGAAGTGGAGTGTCTCATGGTCACATGTTGTGGAGCAGGGAAGGAGCCCTTCACGCCCTTCTCCCATCAGCCACTTGGTAGTGTTGGCGGCCATTTCTCTGGTGACGTGCTCCTTTACCCAGCCATCCACCCAGGCCTGGAAGCGCTGATGTAGCCGCGTGCTCACCCGCTCATGGGACTGGTAGAAACGCACACAAAGAGTATTTACAATGCATTTTCATACGTAGTTCAGAAGTAGGTATGGCTGCAACAATTAGCTGACAAAGTCAAATAACTGTCAGTGACGTTGAATATGGAAAACAGTTCACATTTTGTTGTACTGTTCCCTTGATACACTGTCAGAATGGTGCACTGAACATTCCACATTAAAGACCAACCTGAGGCACAGTAAAGGGGAAGAGCACGCTAGGCACTAGGGTTTACCTGATGAGCTCGCAGTAGTGCCGTGCGTCTGTACATGTAGTCCTCAGACTTAAACACGTACACCATTTTGTAAGAGTTTAGCTTGAACATGCACTCCATTTTAATGTTCTCAGCATTCTCCTTCTTCCCTCCTTCCTTCACCTCTTTCTCCTGCTGTTCCCGTCCCCGCTGGCATTTCCGAATTCGCCTAAGGTTTCTATAGCAAGAGAGAAAAAGAGTCATAAAAGCTACAAGATGAATTTAAACTAGTGTCAAAAGTTTGATAGATAAAAAAAAAAAAAAAAATTATTGTTTTATACATTGACAAGCATATATTTTGTGTAATCAAATTAATGCACAAACCTTTGTTAAAAGGTCAGTTCTGTAGTTATAAAAAGATCACATTATGGTTTAAAAGTGCTATCAACATGTAAACTTTAAAGTGTAGAGAGATGCTGTACTACCTTGGAAGAAAAACAGGCTTTTGTGCTAGATGCTCTCTTAGCTCTGGAGACGTCACATCAGCACTAAGATAGCGGCCCACATAATCTGACCACCGCTGCAAACATAGAGTAACACTATTGATCAAAACAGTTTAAACATACATAGAATAGCATGTGTGTAGGTGTGACCTAACAGGAACATACTAAGAGACTGTTAGACCTTAAGCCAAATGGACTGGGAATAAGAGTCAAAGTGTGACTCACTTCTGCCTCCACTGGCTCATCAGAATTCTCCTCTTCTGTGTCCAGCAGCTCAATCGTCAGCTGTACGTTCCCTCGACTCTTACTGAACATCAGCTGTTTTAGAAAGACAGAGAACACTTGAATAGTAAATGAAAGACAAAGGTACATTCCAACAGAGCTGGTCAACAGATAGTAAATTCTTACTTTAAAGCAGTTCTCATCGGACATGAGCTGCTCCGCCTTGCGCTGGTAGGCTGATTCAGCAGTTGATCTGGAGGCCTGACTCGAGAGCGTTCCACCTGTAGCACAGTTACTGCTCTCTGACAGATAGAGATCTGTCACCTGCACGCAGATCTCATCGCTCACTATGTGCTGCAGCTGCAGAGAGGGAGCACAGGGGAGAAATTAACCTTCACAAAAGTCTTTACTTAAACCCCTGTTCTGTTTTGTAGAAACATAGGTACAACAAACAATGACCAAAAGAAAGAAAAATATCAAAGTAACCTGGCCTTTGCTTTGTATTTATTTTGTACCTACAACCCACTGACATAAATCCATTTCCAACACACAAAAGATGAAGAAAGAGAACCTCCCAGAACATTATAAGCAAAAGAAACCATCAGTGAATTATAGCCCGTCAGGAAAAGGGGGGGGTAAAGAGTACACAAAACTACTCTCTCTACTAGAGAGAACTACCCTCTCTAGAAAAAAAAAACAACTAGAGGTCAGAACGACCACATGTATACAAGCACCGAACAAGTCTTCAGCTTTATAAACTTGAAAAGACAGAGAGCGAGAAACATGTTTTCTTTCTTTTGTGTACAAACAGTGCCAATCTTTTTCACTGAACTGGAGCAAAACCCTGGAGCACAGACCTGCCTGACAATGCTCTGGATGAGCTTGTCCATGGTGAAGGCGATGTAGGCATGGATAGTGAACATCTCTCTCAGAGAGTCCTCATATTGAGATCCCTCCATGTTCCCATCCAGCAGGTTCCGCACCATCTCCAAGAAGGCTGAATAGTAGTCTTCAACGTCAATGTCCACTGAGAGAGAGAGAGAGAGAGAGAGAGAGAGAGAGAGAGAGAGAGAGAGAGAGAGAGATAAAAAACAAAAACAACCACACAACAGGTTTCAGACATAATCCAACCCCATAAAAGGCAAACACATCCACTAAAATTCAAGTTAGCAGTGGAACAAGGCCAATGCTACTTATCTGAAGCCAGTTGTGCATTTGGATTTACATGGATTAACGTTGGATCTGTGAACAGAAGGCTGATTCATAATCAGCTCCTCAGAACAACATCAGCTCTGAGGCTAAAATGACACTGAATAGGATAACTCATAATAATTTAAACTTACTAGGCTCCTTCAGCCGCAGCTGGATGGCAGGGTTGTCGTTTTTGTCCCGTTTGAGCCCGAGCACCTCCCTCTCCCAGTCGCGCTCTCTCAGTTCCTCCTCTATCTGCCGCTCGGCCTGGACGTAGAGACGGAGGAGGCGTGAGCACAGCGTCTGGTGCAGCCGCAGGAAGATGTACCAGTTGTTGTTCACAAAGAACAAGTTGTAGGCCTCGTCACAGGAGCGCAGCTTCTGGGCGGCTGAGCTACTAAAGAGGAGTTTGGACTTGGAGGGGCTTCCGCTGCTGCTCCCTGCTGCCAAACCATTGTGCTTCTTGGAGCCTCCTTCATCCAGCTCCATGTCCTCGTCGTCTTCCTCTTCCTCATCATCCGACAGCGCCCCCCGCTGGGAAAAGAGCATGTCAGGGATGAAGTGGTAGATGATCTGCTTAATCTTGTACTTGTCCTCTTTATGGATGCTGGTCTGCCGTTTGACATGGTGGATTATGAGGGCTGCAGCGTCCTCCAGGATTTGTCGGTCCTCGTAGGTTAAGGTGAGATGGGGGCCACCAGGCGGTGTCCCGTTCTCCTCAGAGGCTTGTTCCTGCCGCTGCACATACAAACATGAGCCAGATGCACGTTTAGTGTTTGCCAAAATGCCATTTAAACACCACTTTTTTACAGAGTCTTCTTAAAAATATTTCTTTAGTATCAAAACAATACTACATTAAAATGACATCAGATAGCATGAGCACGTTTTCTTGGAACTTTTTATTTTTATTGTATTTATTATTTTTTTCTACGTACGTGTTTTTGTATACCAACTGAGGATGGGTAGGTGGAAGATATGGAGATTAGTGGGAGAAAACTGGTTATTACTAGTACTGCACTACCATTTTGACATTTTCTTACTGATTTTTGAAAATAAAGATAACAAATTGCTCCCAAAAAAGAAGCCAGCTTTTAACTGAAAACCCTAATGCCATTTTCACTAACACTGCACCTGAAGCATCTTGGGATCTAGTAGCTTTCTTAAGCTAAAAATAAGCTAAACATGGTTGGTTGGCTAACCTCATCATAGATGCTCTCAATCTCGTTAAGCAGGTTCTTGGAGCGCAGCACCTTGGTGTCATTCTGTTTGAAGTTGATGCCTTGGTGGTCCAGGGATTTCAGGTAATACTTTTCGTTCTGCTCGCGCCAGATCTTATTGAAGCCTCGCTGTGCTTCTCTCCACTCCTCTTCCTTCAGCTTTAACCTAAAGTACAAAATACAGCCATCATAACTATATTTAACTTTGTGCTTTCATACAATTAGTGCAAATACAATGAATTGACTGTACAAAGGAGAAAAATCTTTGTATGTTTATATGATAAAGCCCTAAGAATGTAAAAGAAAAACACACATCTTAGTATTTTACTTTTTAAGGTCAGCTGCGATTTTGGATAGTGCTGCAGATCTGCCCTGACAGATGCGTTTCCACTTGGCTGACAGTTGTGTAAGTGTCTTGGCCCTGGTGTATTTCTTATGTAATGGTGTTGTGAGTGCTCGCCACATGATGAAACAAAACCTCCTCAGGGAGATAATAAAATATGAAGTAAGTAAAGTTTTCTCTGCACAATGGGGTTCTATGTAAGAATGTAATAACTACAGCACAACAGTACTACTGAGTTATTACATGTAGAGCTTGAAACATAAATCCAACTAAAATGAAAGTGAGAGCACATGTGCACAGAGTGATACGAGGTCACTCAGCTTTGGGTTTTGATCACAGACCTCTTCAGCACGATGGGGACAGAGACCGCTGGATTCTTCTTCAGTCCATCAATGATATCCAGGGCCTTGTCTCCGTATATCCTCTGAATAGCCTTGCGGTGGATAATCTCAGATGTGCCTCCCAGCGTGTTGTCTAGACGGAACTTCGCCTGCTCCTCGGCAGACATCCGAGAGAGCTTCTTCTGCACCGTTTCCAGCACCCGGATAGTGGCCAGGTTCGTCTCCAGAACCACATCCAACTATGCACAGATGCAAACCACATTATCTAATGATAAGCTTGCTAACACCACACTAGCAGAATTTGGTGAGTTTCTTTAGAGCATTTCTAAATGTTGAGTGTCTACATATCCACTGATAAGCTTGATGTTAGATGGCCTGATTTGAAAAAAGAGCCAGATGTGAAAGCAGGAAGGTCTCAGGTGGCTCACCTCAAAGCGCTCATCCTCACACCTATAAATATGCTCCTCATACTGCGTCTTCTTAGAGCTGACAAAGGTGGAGTCCTCTGACCAGGAAGGGAAAGACACCCATGTGTCATTCAGCACCTGGGCGAACAGATGGGACCACAGGCATTGGTTCAATGATCAAGTTACATACAAAGACCTTTCATGCAAAAAAATTCTGTTAGTAACAAACTGAAATTAAATTCTTGCCTGAAACTGAAATAGGACATACTGGACCAAAAACCGAAACCGGAAAGAAGCTAATAAATAAAATAAATTTACATAAAATACACTAAAAATGAACTAAAACTGATTTGCTACAGTATATGCCACAAAATCTAACGTTCTTGAGAACAGAGAACAGCTGGTCATTCAATGCAACAAATTCTCTTGTTCTTTTTATCTCTACTTTGCACTTTGGCACCCTGGTTCATGAATTTCTACTCTTTCAAAAACTGTGGATACAGATAACTTCGGTGCGCTAGCAGAGATTTTACTATCTGCCTCTGTTGCTTTGCTGTGTTCAGCATATCAAGTGGGACGTCTTAGGTGGAATCAATCCTGGAGTGGAGAACTTCTCGGGTGTTGTACTCCCCTTTCTAATACCCAGCATGAACAGTGATCACAAATCATTTGTCTAATATCCCTTTTAGAAACTGAAATGGTTCCACATAGCTGACATTTTCACTGTTGATCTGCTGCTGCACAAAATGCTTCTGTGCTGACTGGTGTAGGAGAGTAATGGAACAAATAAAAATCACTATTTCTTTTCTTATTTTCATTGCCATTATGACTATGTGCAAAGGGTTGAAATTTGATACTTCATTTTAGGCCTATTAAATCTTTTTTTTGATAACTGTCGACCAATTTCAGAGGCTGAAATTGAGGTGCACCCCCAAAGTCGCAGTTTGTTACAAAACAAGACAAGGCTTGGATGTAACACAATGTAGTAGGTACCCTCACACTGAGCACTTTAGTGTTCATTATTTTATTGTAACATAAATGTGATGACAATAAAGGACAGCTTCTCACCTCTTTGCAGAGTGGGGTTCTCCCTGTGCATTTGGGCTGCTGGTAGCTCTTGGGCAGAGCTCTGTAACTAAAGCCCAGTCTCTTGCATGAGGAGTAGTCTATCTCCATGGCGATGCCCTCTGTTGCCCTCTCTTTAGGGTAGCTCTCCAGGTGGGACATCTCCTTGTAACCCAGGAAATTCTTAAACCAGGTGAACAACTCTGGGAACTTCCTGAAAAGGTTACACAATTCAGCTTGGTTGCCCTCATTTGTCCGGGACATTTTAAACACAATGACAGCTGCACCATTTCTACACCTGAAAACTTGTTTTGTTTTTAGCAAAGGTCTCATAATGTGAAAGTATGGAAAAAAGTATATCACGACATTTAGAGCAATTTTCATCTGAAAAGCTGCAACAGACATAAAAAATAAATAAAAATAATGAAACAATGAATTCACAAAACTATGAATATAATTTATTTTTACACACCGCACTGGAGTCGATCCAGATAAACAGGACTTCTTCTTTGTAAAGAAACTCATACTGTACCATAAATATGGTCATAGTATCCCCCCTCCCCCCAAGGTGTCAGTGATCAAAACACTCACCCCAAAAAAGGCAGCACCAGTTGCACCAGCTCAGCACGAGAGATCACTTCCTGGTTAAAGATGACCAGGCACCGCAAGAAGTTGTCGTAGGCCTCTGCACTTCTCAGGGCTTTTCGCACCTATGAGAAATTTAGACAGATCAGTTACTGTGTGACCATCAAAAAGTAAATAAATAAATAAATAAATAAATAAATAAGACAGATAAGCATGGATTTTATAAAATGATATCGCACCTTCTCAAAGAACAAAGATTCTGTGCCGACTCCATGTTTGCTGGCCTCTGCCACAGAGGAGTCCTTCAGATTGAGTAACTTAGGTTTTTTCTGGAAGGTAAAATGGTCAGATCAGAAAACCAAACATCCATCTCATAAATGAATTTACCACAAATAAGTGGTAAATCTCCTCCTTGGCAACAGTACAAACTCATCGCTTGTATAACAAATTATGTGAGAAAAACAGTACAGCTGTGCACCTCATGTATTCAATCAGATATCAGACTAATATGTCAAGGTTTAAGCTGTGGCCGAATGTTATGGCGTTTACCTTCACAGGCGGAGTGGCTCCAGTAGCGCTGTGTCTGCGGATCTGACAACCATTCTGGTTTGGCCTCTGCTTGTTGTTCAGCTGTGGCTTCTTCACTGTACTTCCATGATCATTCTGTACAGATTCTGCTTTCTCTGCTGTCGTTTTGCCGAGCAGCTAAGGAGTGTGGAGAGAGGAACGTTTACTTCTGGCTAAAGCAAAGTGGTTTACTGACTCACACGTACAAGTAAAAGTGACAGTTGACTCAACTCCAGTTGTAGAATGATCGATTAGTTTTGAAAATTAAAGAAATTCTAGAACTCCAAGTTCAGTCTCATGTGTTTGTGTGGATGTCAGGAAGCACAGGCAGCCGACTCTCACCACAGAGCTGTTGGCATCTGGCAGGAACTGGCCAAACTCTGAAAGCAGGTCCTCCTGGTTCTTGAAGAGCCGTGCCACTTGGGCATACACCTCCTGCTCAGTCAGAGCCGGAGTGTAGTTTCCCCCGGCTTCTTTAGCATTACGTTGCTCCTTCTACAGGTAAATAGGTAGGTAGGTAGCAAGGAAGGAAGGAAGGTAGGAAGGAAGGTAGAAAAGAAAGAAAAAAGACAAAGAAACAAGTAAGAATGGCTCTCTTTTCAAAGTGCAATCTCTATTTCAAGAGCACCATTTCAAAGTCACTGTTCTAACTAAGGACTTGATGGATAAAGGCCAAACTGAACCAAATACAGAAATACACTGCTCATCTTCCCGGGACAATGATGTGCAAAGTCAACAAGAGAAAGCTTCTCTGCTGGACTAAGGCCAAGTAGAGACATAATCTTCATGGGAGATCTACTTCACTTGGAATACACAACAAATAAAAGCACCAAAGTCCACAGATACTCTGCATAGACAGCATCACTCATGAGTCGTTTACCTAAATAGACAGCAGTGCATTTATGAGACCATCTTAAGACATGTCTCTCTATAAACACTCACCTGGTATGTGTGCAGGATCTCCAGGAAGGCTTTGTAGATATCCGGCTGACCTTGGAAGCGGTTCTTGATCTTGTTGACATAGTTGATGGCATGGTTGAACTCCACAGGCTGGTTATTTTGCAGTGGAGGGGCACTTGGGGTACTGCTTACAGGGGTGTGGGGCTGTAGAGGGGGGGAACGTGGGGAGGCATACGGAGGGATGGACGGATTAGGCTGACTGCTCGGGGTCAATGCTGGAGACTGCAATGGCTGTGGAAGAAGAGAGAGTATCATTTAAAAACTGACGTTGAACTTCATGAATGAAAAGCTTTGGTCAGGTGACCATGGGCCTGGCACAACTCAAAGTTTTTATGAGTACTTTAGCAGATTCACAAAAACTAAGGACTTCAACAAGTTTCAGAGACAGTTTACAAACACATGTTAACGTCTACCTAGTATTCCAAACAAGCTCTGACGTGCAAAACTGTAAAGTACATGACTCTACAAGCCAAATGGACCAGCAATAAAGCTCACTTTGCTCTTTTGCGAGGGCTGAGTTGGGGGAGGGGCAGCTCCGCTGGAAGCTGGGGGAGCCAACTGGCTCTGATGCGGTGCTGGAGGGATATTCTGCACCGAGATGCCATGAGGTGTAATATGGTGGATCTGACCTGGGGTCGTAACATTCACCAGATCATTGGTCTGCACCTCGATTTTATATCCAGGCGGCAGGAAGGTGTTGAAGCCCATGATGAGGTCAGGGTGACCCTTAAAGAGCTGAGACACCCGATTGATCACACCTGGTGTGTCAATGCTACAAAAAAAATAAACACCGAAAAATCAGTTCATGCACAAATGCTTTCCATCCCAAAAAACTTATTACTTCCACTTGAAAAATACTTACTACTGATTACACAATAATGGATAGTGCCCAATTGGCAATTTCAAAGTGCAGCTAACACTTTTCTAATTTACTACTAGGATACTTCAACAAAAATTAAGTTAACTTGCTAACATCAAAGCTCACCTCTGAGACTTGAACTCTTTCATGATGTCCAGAAAGTCATTATAAACTTGAGGCTGACTTCCAAATTGCAGCTTCACTTGATCCAGGTAGGACAAGGCATCTTCCACCTAAGAGATAAAAACATACATATGCAATAGCAGTTACCAAAGGAAACTCAAGCACTTTTATGGCAATCTGTCATTTTGAAAAAAACATCAATTCAATTTAAGTACAAGTTTAATGTACCTAAAGCTGTATGTTGTACAGCGCATTCTCACCTTGAGTCTCTGAAACTGCTGCTGTCCCTGTGCGGAGGCAGTGGGATTGGGTGGGTGTGCATGACCCTGGACCAGTGCAGGGCCATGGGGCTGCACAGCAGGACTATGGTGGTGAGAGCTGCTGTGGACAGCAGGACTAGGACCATGACCATGACCCCCCGAGCTCTGCGCCACAGGAGGAACCTATAAATACAATACAAAATAAACACAAATCTTAAAAAACACAAAACAGCCACCTCAAGTTTTCTAATAGTGATTACGCTGGCTTTTTGTAATTTACCGATCATTAGCTAAGTAAGCGGAAATGCTATGTCAGTACCTGGTATCCCTGGGGTACAGGGTACTGGATGCCTGTGGTGGGCTGCATGTTGTCTGCCACAGCCTCGTACACTGGGGCTGGGGCCAGAACCCTGTGCTGGAAGCCCTCAGAGTTTCCTGGGAGCCGACGCTGTTGCGCCGCAAAGACTGCTTCCTGATCCTCCAGACGGCGCTTCATTATGAACTCATACTCAGGGGGTACTGAGACCTGCAGAAGAGTAACAAAGCCAAAAAGAGTTATACGACTACTTAATTGGCTGACCAATGTGATGTTCTACACTTTCTTAAAGTAGAGGAGTGCAACAAAACTGTGACAATATAGTGATTTTCACCACTTTAACAGTAAGTGCAGAGTGACTTTCAAACATACTACACAAAAAGTAAATAAATAAATAAATAAATAAAGAAATGTGCTGACAACAGACTTGTTTCATTTAATTCAACCCCTGAGAGGAAAAACTCCAAACAGAACCAGTGTCACTTAGAGAGCAGTACTACACTGTAGTGAAGCAACAGCGTCATAAAAACAAGACACAATGCATACAATAAACACGTCAGAACAACAAAAAAAACAAACAACAAAAAAAAAAAACAAAAACTAACACGTTCTCTCCAAGGAACAAACTTAAACATTTAACTTTAAACTTAGACATTTTGCTGCGAATTTTAGAGTTCTATTTATTTGCAGAATGAGAAAATTAGACATAATATACAAAAAAAGCAGAAGTCTGCTGTTCAGGATGCACACTTATTTTCAATTACAGTCTGAGGTCCACAAATTTTTGGATAAAACTGAATAAAGGACGTAATCAAATGTGCATACACAGATCGATATTTACTGAATAATCGCGCTGGATTATGTGGATGTACGTTTTACAGAAAGACAGTGGAAGTCAGCATGAAGGAGTAATTCCTCATATAAACAGTCCATCCACGGTGCTGGCGCTCAGCTCCCTCCGGCCAGGCGCATGCTGCAGGACTGTGGCCATGACGTCATCGGAAGGCTCCTGCCCTGTACACACACTACGAGGGCGCCTCGTATCTCCGGCACGGAGACAAACTCGGGCTCCGACGCCTCTCCGTTCACCGCTTCAGTGACCAACCCGCTCGGGGGAGGGGGTGCCTCTGTTTAATCTGGCCTAGATGTCCGGGCTGAAGACGGCCATGAGGCAGCGAGGGAACCGGCGGGCAGCTCGAAAAGCGCAAAGCGACATAAACGGACATGTGAGAAGCGAAGTGCGTCTGTTTCTCGTTTGAGGGGCTGACCTCGCTCGGTAACCCAGCTAGCCGTTTCGAGCACATCTCGTCCTCAGAGCGACACAGCTACATGCGCAGAAAGCCCACTGAGAGCGTACAAAACGTGTGTTTGCACGTAACGTTACACTCCGCGGTTTAAAAGCGCCTCCGTATGTGGACAATGCGAGGACGCGGTCACTAACGTGGATAAGCTGGAGTGTTTCTTGGCACAATCCGTTAGCTAACGTTAACAGAAACGCTGGCAGATGAACTGAAACGGTCCACACTGACACCAACGGTTAGTTCAGAAGCCCTCACTTCGACAAAGAAACTTGAAAGACCGGGGTTTGAGCGTGAGCTGCAGAACTACAGCAGCTAAAGGTGAAAGGGTTCACTACTGATGGAAAACAAACAGCGACAAGGCTAAATATGAGCCTCGCTAAGACGTTAGCTAACTCGTATTTACACTGGAGAGTAACAGTTCGCTTATGTGTGCCCCGTCCCCTCCCCCTGCCCCTGAGGCCTGGCACCAAGCGCTAAAGCCCCGAGCTCGAGTTCAGCCTGGCGGACAAACACAGCAGTCTGGCGGGCTGCACACGGCGGCTAACGTGCAGCCGCAACTCCTGTCTGAGAGCAGATAAAGACACGGGGTTTGTGCGAACGCTGATGTTCTGATTTGTGTAAATAAAATGCTCTTCTGTAAATCTAACTAGCACTACTCAGTACAGTGTTAAAAAGCCCTGCCCCCCAACGAGAACTGCGCTAGCCACCAGGCTAACTTCAGTGCAGATGTCAGCGCAACTCTGACTAGCCAGCTAGCGGTTAGCCACCAGCTAGCAGCCCGTTAGCAGCGTCAGTCACTCCAGCCGTGCACATGCAGAGCACAGCCGCGGAGCCCCACAGACACAGCGAGACGTTCACTCAAATAACACACGAAGCGCACAAAACTGGAGCCGGAGACTCCGCCGTGGGCAGTGCGGGGCACAAACCGCTGCTCGGTTTTTTCTTCACAGCTTCTCCACAGAACACAGTTTAAACTCACCTCCTGGCAGCAGCTAGCTTAGCTAGTCGAGTTGTTCAGGTTTGTCCGCGAATTCGACCAAAACAGGAATCAACTTAAAACAACCGCAGCGCTGAAACGCTGCGTGTGTACTGGCAGTCACTCGTGCATGGAGCTAAATAAAACGCTCCGTCCGTTAAATATTGTTTTTAAAATGCACAATACAGGAGAAAGAGACCGCAAAAGAAAAAAGATTTTCAGCTGAAAACAACCCCAGTCCTGTTCGTGGCCGAGAGGCGTGGCTCACGGGGGCTTTTTCCTCAGTGTCCGCCCACTGCGGATCTGATTGGTCAGTGCCGGAGGGATCCGGGCGAGGAGGAGGAATAAGCCGCTCTGATTGGCCGCGCTGAACGTCACTCAAACAAACAGCAGGCTGGAAGGCGGTTCGTCGACTGCCCGCCACTCAGACTCCTCTCACACACGTAGGCTACACAGTTCGAAACGGAGGACTTTTTAGACTCTGAAATTAGACGGTGCACCACTACAAAAAAGCCTGGTATGTTTCATCCGTTTCGTACACTGACCTGGGCGCGCATCTTTACTACTATAAAAGAACCGAGATCTGAATCTAGAGGAGCTCCCAGGTCAGACACGCAGTCCAGCACTTGTTTGGTTGCTAGGGTTTCCTAGTAACACGTTTTACAGGGGAAAAAAACATTCATGAGCCTCATATTAAAGTCACCGTTTCTTCAACCATCCAGTTCTCTTAAACAGTGTGTTTGTGGTGACATAGATATGACTGATTCACACGGGTGAAAACATGAGTACGTGTGTCTGAAAGCTTCTCGGTGCATAAAATTAGTTCAATGTAACTTCCTGAAGTTACTACCACACGTGACTCCTCTCGGCAGTGTTTAGCTGTCGCATACGTCATACAGATCGCTTAACATTATGCCCCCGCCCCCCCGTTCAAAGCGCTGGCCAATCAGAACACGCGGTATTCCTCAGGCCACGCCCCCGAGAGGTGGACCAGCTGAAATAAACCCTCGCCCACGAGAGGCGGAGTTAAACACTTGCCCGGGATTCCTCGCCTCGACAGAGCAACAACTCGCACTCAGCCTCGACCGAGCAGCCCGACGACCATGTTTGCGCTCAGAGCTTCGTCTCAAACTAGCGTTTGGAGAAAACACACAGCGAGCCGTGTCGAACGAAAGGTCCTTCAGGACCGATAAACACACATCCTAAACTCGAGTGCAGAAAAAAACGCCGTTGTTATGTAGTAGATCGGTTATCGTCCAAAAAAGTTGCTGCCCAAATGTGTCTTTTTGGGTTCTAGCTTAGTTATAACGAACAATGAGCGCCCACACGAGGGAGAAAGCGGCGCTGGTTGATGGTAAACGGCGGAGGAGTGAGTGAGTGTGTGTGTTTGTGTGTGTGTGAGAGAGAGAGAGAGAGAGAGAGAGAGAGAGAGAGAGAGAGAGAGAGAGAGAGAGAGAGAGTCCAGCCGTGCCTGTTTCCCCTTTAATACGCCACGCATTTCTGCTCCGTCCCGCACTTCCCATTGAACAATAGACCCTCGATTCGGGTAACGCAGCAGGATCGACCGTGTGGCTTTGTTACAGACATATTTCTCATGACACACGGTGGGTTTTACACTCACGCGCGATTCAGGCGAACCCAACTCCGCTATTCGAGCTCGGGCTGGACGGATTCGCCTTTTTATGACGACCTTATATCGGCCCCAAAGTCAAAATGGGCACTATAATCTGGAGCCGTAAACACGAGCACAGCGCACTGACTGACGACATGTGGCGTCGCTGATTCAGAGACTCGTATCTGTACCAAACGACGGAGCAGACACACAGACCGAGAGAGCAATTCTTTGTTTACTTCGACATTTAAGGGGAAAATGTCTAAGCCATTCGCCCCAACAACTCCCTCCCCCTGCTGAGCCCTGTGTTAACTATCAGACCGCACCGAGAGTACAGCGAAAACGGCGACAGCAGATTTCTGCACACAGAGCGTTTCGAGGACAAAAAGCCAGTTAAAATCACACAGACAACAGACAGACTGCGTTCAGCCACAGACAAGCTCTCGGGATCGTGGGCGCACGCTTCACTCCGCTCACTAGCAAGCTTTGCCCTCCTCGGCTCCTCAATTTTGGCATTATCGAGCAAACCACCCACATTTCGTGCGTTACGATCTACACGCAAAAGGTTTCCGACTCCCAGATTTAGGACACTATCAACTAAGAACATCGGTGCAGATCGGAATAAGATATTTTTGTTTTCTTTACCAGCTGTTACATACCTAGGAAAAAGAAGCCTCTCACTCCGGATTCGTGTTTGTAACAAAATAGTTGGTAACGCCCCTCTCGCCTCCCATTGGTTCTCCCAGCGTCTTGCGTCATTGCAATTTGAATACGACCCGCCAAAATACCGAGTGTACAGCAGCGTTTATGGAGGAGCTGAAGGAGAGAGCGCTGAGACATAAAGATCACCGGTTATAACTGATAATCTTCGATACACACATTATACACACGAGTAAGTGCTGTAGAGCTCTATGCCGTTAGTTGTTTCAAGTTCTATGCCTACTTTCTCCAATGAAGGATGGTGTTTAGTACGAGATATTCATCATTGATAGAATCTCAAATGGCTCATTTGGACGTCAGGTACACTATAAGGATCTGGAAACCTCTGTTGCAGGGAGTCCCCAGTATAGATTAGAGTCCTTTCATCACCTATAAAATGCAGTATATTTTGAATGGGGAGTTCTTAATTCGTGACATCTGAAATGCAGTATATATTAAATAGGAAGGCCTTATTTCATCACATGAAATGCAGTATATATTAAATAGGAAGGCCTTATTTCATCACATGAAATGCAGTATATATTAAACTAGGAGTCCTTATTTCATCACATGAAATGCAGTATATATTAAACTGGGAGTCCTTATTTAATGACCTATGAAATGCAGTATGTAGTAAATAGGGAGTCCCTATTTCAACACCTATGAAGTTCTCTATAGGGAGTAGGGAGTCCTCGGTTGTGTCTGAATAGTTGAATGAAACCTGGTTTCCCATAGGCTTTCCTTGCTTTTGCCTGATCTGTAGAAAATGGCTTCACTAAATATACTGGTAGAGTTGGCTAGCATGTGGAACCCAAGGCTACCACACCAGGCAGAATCAAGGCAAGCAGATCAGAAAGGAAGTCTCATTCAACCTGAGGAGGCAAGAGAAGCTGCTCCAAACACCTGCTGAAGCAACTTCCACTGAAGGATGCATGAGTGTATGTTATCCAGCAAATGTTTTACAGATTTAAGAGTGAGATCACTGGATTCACAGAGAGGACAGACTTGTGAAGTGTGCTATGGGACCCATTATTTTATGGTTCATGAATGCACTATGAATGGAGTAGGGTGTCCATATGTCTTGACTGAAGTTCACTCTGTAAGGAGCCATTATTTCATGTCTGAGGTGCACTGTATATTTCACATTTTAGGGGGGCAGTGGTTCCCAGCCCTGGTCCTGGAGGACCCCCTGCTTGTATATTTTAGTGTTTTCCTGCAAAAACACACCCACAGGAAGGGCTTATTAATTAGTGGATTAGTTGGATTAAGTGTTTTAGGAACACTAAAATGTGCAGGGCAGGGGGGTCCTCCAGGGCCAGGGATGGGAACCATTGATATAGGGTGTAGGGATCCCTCTTTTCATGACTTATGAAGTGCACTATGTCTGGATCTCAAAAATAAAACAGAGGTGTCCTTGATTCCTCTCTTCTGTCCTTCAGCATGTGACTCAGAAGTTGATTGAAATCCACCATCTTTAAAATTGTGTCAACCTTTTGAACATGCTTGGAGGAATCTTGAAGAGGTTACCAGAGCGAGGAAGCAGAAACGCATCCTACACGGAAGACTTTATTTTTTAATTGTAGCGCTCTGTGCTTTTATTGGGTGATTTCAGTTAATACGAGGGTACTGTGAAAGGTTGATCAAGTTAATAAAATTTTGACGTATCTGAATTTCCATAAAGCACGCTCATGTGAAAAGTCAGTTGACAGCAGAAAAAGTCAGTTGTGTTTAATCTCAGCAGATCCTTTAAGCCTAGTAACAGGTGATGAAAGTCTCATTTGTTGAACACGTTTGGCGTCGATTCCTCTGTCCTCATATCTTATCCTTGCATCTGTTCCTCAGGTCCTGAGAAGAAGGAGCCAAGATGCAAGGAAAAGAAATGAGGCTATACAAATGAAGACATGAGACCCTATTTGTAGTGCACAAATTTAGGTGTTCAAATTACTTTATGGCCTGTGTAGTGCCCTATCATGGGAAAAGCCATCTGAGTGTGAGTGCCAACAAAGTCAACAAAATGCTCAATATGAAGAAATGATAGCTCCATTTAATTCTCTTTTAAACTGCTTTTTCCCCCCCACATACTGTACAAGGTTCTACTTGCTCAAATAGATGTCCCTGAGTCAGGGATCAGGACTCCATTCTGCCAAAGAAGCATGCAACATTTTCAGCACAAGAGACACCATTTGCTATCTCACACATGTGCCCATCTCATGTTACAGATCTCTTTCAGAATAAAAGTACTTGGTCATAAAGTGAACTGCTCAACATATAAGTGAACGCCATGGCATTATTGATTACATAGCTTGATTACATTACATAACATTACATTACCATAAGTCATACAAATGAATGAGTTACAGAATGAGAAAATATAAGTAGCTATTTGCAAATGGAGTAATATGTAAGGACACATAAGTTTGCTGAATATAATAGAAAAATAAAAATCAGTCACATTTTGTGTCCGTCGTTTGAACAGCTAACAATCCTAGAATGAGTGCCTACAAGTGTTTGATTTAAAAGACGCTTCACTACAAGCAAATTCAATATGAATTCAGTAGCAAAGGTTCACATACCCAAGGACAAAATAAAAAGTGATACTATGAAATGATACAGATCTTTAAGCCAACATTAAAACACCTGAACACATGATTAACATAAAAAACTGCCTAAAAGACCACTGAGCTTGCAGATTCGTCAGTTAACGACTATTGCAGTTCACACCACAGTACATTAGTTATGGAATTTGTGGTGTTAAAATCTTCTACTGTTAATAATGTCAGTGAATGCACATAGTGAACACCTGCTTGAAAGTGCTTCCATACAGTTATAAGGCTATTTTACACAGACGTTAGATGTAAGCAGGGCAGACTGGTAGATCCTTTTACCTTAACAGTAGCAACAGCATTCACATGTCACAGAACACAATGGTGTTTTACTTGAGCACGCACACTGGTCTCTGGCCCAAAGAGGGAAAGCAGTATCTGTATTCACAAATCACCTCATGAGCAGAATCTGGAATCAGTTTTTGCGACTATGGCCATCATAAATACAGGTTCTTAGATCAGCTTTCCCACTCTTGCAAATACAGACACACAAGCTTAAGAGTGTACTGCATTGGTTATCCAATCCAATGCAAGTTCAAAAATCCAAATAAATGGCCAAGTGGAGCTTTAGGAAGAAAACAGCACTCCTACATGGGTCATTATAAAAGGAAAACCTGTCGCTCTAAGGAGAAGCCTACAGGCTTTAAGAACATCTTTTTGTCTGAGATTAATATCGATCATGTTTCTACTCAGTGCTTCTAAACAGGATCTGACATGTCACAGTATTCAGTCGTCTATCTGATGCAACCTGCGAACACGTTTTGTCCTCTTGTCCTCTAGTACTTTCAATTTGAAATGATACAATGACATTTTTACTACATTAATTTTTTGGACAGTTGGCTTCGCAGCTCTACTTTTTAACATGTTCATTTGTGGCCAGATTTTAGTCTGAACACATGAACCTAGAAGCCTTAATGCAAATAAAGCAGGGCAATTAAAGATGAATCATACAGTTAGATATCAACTGTTTTATCATTGGGGAACAAAAGAAACCATTAGTGAACTTAGCAATTAGCAATGACTTGGCAAAGCAACTAATTGTGAACCAAATAAGACTATAGTGATAAACAGAATAATCCTCCTTTCACTTGTGTGGAAAACCTTCAAATAAGTCAGGAACACTCCACAGTGTAGAGGGAGAGGACCATTACATCCAGAACACTACATCTGGAGAACATCACAAAGGAATAATATAACTTATAGAAACCTGCCAAATACTTTTACTTCCATAAAACTGGGTTAAAATGAACCTAACAATCTCTAAATGGTTCATCTGGTTGAAAATCAAACAGATAACCTGCCAGTTAACATCTATTGTTATTGTGGTCATTGTGCCATTTCCTTTGCTGGAGCCAAATACCAGAGACAAGAAACAAAAACGGCTGCTCAATATCCTAATATTGTTTTTGAGCTTAAAGTATTCACATGATGCTTCATGTGCCTATTTCAACACACAGAGGTCTTATTTCTTCTTTGTGCTGCTTGTCGGTTGCCTTGATCCCTTTAGACCAGTAGTTCTCAAACCACTTTTAAGGGACCCCCCTTCAACCTAACTCCCAATGCACAGAGATAGAGCAAAATGTGGACTGTCTGGTGGTCTCTCCGGGTTGAGAACCACTTATTTAGACAACACTATTTTGAAGTTGAACAGAAGATACTGAGTGACCTCTGCAGTTTAAACACATGCTGCCTGTTTTAAATTCTGATGAAAAAAAAAGCATCTACAGAAACAGAGTTAATTCATAAAGCCTTGATTACAAACTTTGTTTCTAGTGGAGGCTGTACAAAGAAGCAAAATTGTAATATAAATATCTAAGGCAAAACATGACCCAAATGACTCATACAAATGATGTATTTCAAATGAGTACTGTTGGGAAACTGTCCATTTGTTTATAGTGTCACAAAATCGTACTGGTACATAGAGTAAATGCTTTGGTAGACCGAGCAGATTTTCAGCTGTTTGTGCGCTAACAGAACAGAGGCATGACATGTCACATCCACTGTAGATCTGGAGTTTAAAGGAAAACAACTGGTCCCTCTGAAGCATCAGAATTGATTAAGAGACGGAAACATTTTGGGGTTAGTCAAATGTATGTGTATGAGCACCTTTGGGTTCAGTGTGCTGCATCTGCCAAGACTGGTGAACTGTCAAATTACAGAACAAATCAGGATAAGCTGAGACTGAAGCTGCATCTGTGAATTAATCTCATGATCTGACAGTTTTTTTCTACTAACTGAGCAAACTCAGGATAAAAAATCTGTTTTGAAGTGTACATATTTTAATCATTTGCAACCATTTATGAGGTTAAATAAAAACCTGATTAAAGGTGGTGGGGGGTTCTCTTGATATCGTTTTAGACTGCAGATTTTCTGGCTTTGAAAACAGTGTGAAGGCTCTTGGGTAATTTGAACTGTTAGATGTCATTCAGAAACAACACTCAACATACTGGTCACTAATGACTTAGGAACATTCAATTTCAATACAAACACTTTCACACATTATCAGCATTACTGATTGGCTATGAGACAGATGGACCCCTTCAGTCTTCAGCTGGATCCAGCAGAGATTAAGATCTCTTGGCAAACAGTGTTGGCTATGATTGCTATGACTGTGGCACTTTATTCACCAATCTTTAAAAGAGTCACAAGTACTGTGCTTGGAGTGAATGTCAGTCAGACAAGTGGGTGTAAAAAGATTCCTTCAGAGACCATTTATGCTCAGTCTATTGGCAAGTAGCCCACTGATTGGCTAAGAGCACTCTGAGTGTCACTGATTGGCAGAAAGCTGCCTCTGTCTTTCGCTGACTGACAGAAAGCAGATTCGGTCTCTCACTGATTGGTCGAGAGCAGTCCCTGTCGCTGGGCATGCTCTAGGATGGCAGTGTGGCAGAAGTAATACTGTTCTGGTGTTTGGATGCTGAAGGCGCGCTGCGTCCTCATACGCCTCACCGTCTGACACACATTCAGAGTCCCGACCTCCTGCAGCTGGGACAGACATATATCCAATGCACAGAACGTACCTGAAAACAGAATAAGCAGAATAATCAAACATCTTCAGTGGGTAGTACTTCAAAACATGTTAACTGACAATGAACAACTTTAGCACTTCAGCTTTCAGAATAGGTATTGTAACTGCATGTCAACACCATGTCTCACAGTATCAGCACAATCTGTTTCAAATTGAGTATATGTTTGAAAGTATGCCCTATTCACTATATAGTGCACTGTTTTGGGAGTCATTTGGTGCATTATTATTTGGGAGACATCAAATATTCATTACGTAGTATGTATGCAACAGAAAAAAGAATGACAGTGATGAGAGTGATAAGCAATCATGTAGTGTATAAAATAGTTTACTTCTACCATGGATGATGTTCCCTATAATAGTGTTCTATACAGTGCACCCTGATTTTAAATCATATACTATAGTGATTAGGTCTGTTTTTGATTTATTGAGGGTTCAGTTTGAGAATTACATGTTGGCATATAAAATAAATGTTGGCATTTGCCCAAGACATTCTAGCCTTTGAACACACAACAAAAACAAAAGTTTTTAAAGCAGTTACTTACCTGTCCTGCCAATGCCTGCACTGCAGTGGACAACCATGGGTGGTCCCAGAGGATGACCCCTCCACTGTGACCCCAGAGCCTTCACTGCTCTCTTCTGCTGCCTCTTCACTGCACCCAGGAAGTCAAGCAAAGACAGCGCAGAGGAGGGGACGCCGTAGTCAGGCCAGCTGAGGAACTGGAAGTGAGTAACCTGCCTCTGCTCACAGGTCTGATCAGGGAAAAAAAAAAAAAGAAAACCTCTTATCAAGATTGATTTGTCTTGTCAAGGTTTGTCTTACTACAAGATACATGTTAATATCTGGAACTAACTGGTTTTGGAGTCCAAATGTGCTTCAAATGTGTAGTTTTCATTCTTGGAGTAAAAATTCATTAATATACAATACATAAAAAATATAATCCCATTACTTCAAGATTGATGATGCCTCATTATGTGTTTGTCTTCAACGAGGGCTTGTGTGAGCTTCAACTCCACAGGAAAGATTTACATCAAAGCACTTAACCTTTACCTGCAAAAGTTTTTCAAAGTTCACACCATAATTAACCCCAGATTTTTACTCTACCACTGCTTCCACATCTGTCCTCACATCAGAGAATTCTGCATTCTAGTTTGAATTTCAGAGATGCAACGATGTCTCGAAACAACCCACACAAAAATCATACTCCTTATAACGACTACCACGATTCACCAAGGCTATGTTATTCTCCCACTGATCTGCTCTATCTGTACATCTGTCTGTATGTGTGTTACCTCTGTGTTATGTAGCTCCAGAGTGGTCTGATTGTAATGGGAATGGTTGTCCACTCTCTGGTTGACCACAGCTATGTGTCCGTACACCTCTTGGCCCCCTTCCTGCAGAGGCCAGTACTGACCACACTTCCTTCGGCCACCCTCGTCAGTCCTACACACAAACAGCACAAGACATATCCATTACTCAGTTCACAGAACCAGACAGCTCTTTGAAACACTCAGAAACATCCTACAGAATAATGTAGAAGGAAAAACATAAGCTTGAATCTTTTTTCTGTGATTTAATATGAAAAGATCCACGACACACTACAACAGAAATGTACTGCCAGGCTCTGTCATTTTCAGGATTTTGTCAAGTTTTTCGTATGTGTCCATGACTCATGACTCACCTTGTTGTCATGACAATGACCAGCACGCTTTGCTCCCACACCATTCTCCAGAAATCTCCGTAGGTTTTCTCCAGCGGCCCTGTGCAGAGTCATCCGGTTACATCCCTATCTGAACTATGCAAACTACATAATGCCCTGCTAAACTTAACACAAACTTGCAGTTATTCTAAGTCCAACAGTTGTTCTATTGTACCTTGAGTTCCAATGTACGCATTCTTCTGTTTGTAGCCGTCCATGAAGCTGGCGTTGATGTAATCTGATCTCTGAGAACAGAACAGTCTCTCAATGAGATGACAAGCAGGCATTACTGCAGTATTCTGTATATTCAGTGCTAAGATTTCACACTCTACATTCTTGAAAGCATAGTGAACCATAAAACAAGAAAAACAGAACTTACAACTTCATACAAACCTCATTTCTTTTGCCTTTCAGACGTACACGTGTTTGGTCAAGACAAAGAACGTCACCATAGCGATTCCTCTCCTGGTTGTAGCCAGCCCTGCAGGAGGGTAAAACAGTCAGCGACTACCATCACAACATTGCTTTTCTTTGAGGTAAAGCTCTACTGCTTACTAAGTAAAGCCACCTGCAAAGGGCAAACAGGGAGAGTGAGCACACAAGTAAGCCTACATGTGGGTCTACAGGTGGCTGTACTTCTAGCTGCAGAAAACAGCCATATTGTGTGCCATTTTACTACTTGCACTTATGACAAAACCATAACCTTTCATATTTTCACAGGACATTATAATAAGATGGAACTGCATGACAAAAATCCTGCATTTATCACAAATTTCATTCTACTACACTTTGCCATGGAGTACCATTATAATCATGAATTATTAATATCAATGTACCATACTTACTGTAAAATGCAACTGGAGCAAGGGTAACTGGAGTCTTCTATAAGTATTCTTTTAAAGAGATCTGTATATTAGATTAACTAGTGTTGATCTGATGTATCAAGCCTATTACTACTAGGCAAATTTGACTGTGAGCATTAGTATAGGCAACTGGTGATGAAGACATACCCAATTAAAAAAAATAAATACAATAATAATTATATATGCAATGTTAGCACCAGATCTGCTTGGTTTTGTAGCCTCTCTGACAAGGAATGAATGGGGAATGCTGTACTCATGAAATGTCTGTACTACATTTAAAACCCATGTTAAATTCAATATTTTGTACATGATTCTCATTAATAATTGTTTAATTTATAATTGCATTTAACCACATATGTAAACACATTATATAGTTTATGAAATACTGACATTTTACTGGTTACCGATGACCCTGTGCATTCTCATTACTCTCAGTGGCCCTTGAAAAATTCATATACAATAGCAATTAACCTACACTTTTTGAGCAGCGGTACTCACAGTGCACAGTGGAAAGTTCCAGGTGGCTGCTCTTTACGGAGCTCCTCGTACTCCTGGTAGATGCCACTGCGTTGGGCTCGAGCTAGGTGTGCCATAAACTCTGGCAGCCGCATGGCCTCGGGGCCTGGTGTGTGCACTGAGGAATCGTCCAGTGGGATGCCCACCAATTCATCGACCGGGTCTACTTGTCCGTTCTGCTCGGCCAGCAGCCGCTGGTTCCAGCCATGAACATCCAGAGCCAGGCAGCCGCCTAGGTGCTCGGGCAAGCAGTCTCTGGGCAGGTGCTGTCGCAGGTCAGTCATCTTCACCATTTGGACCTGCAAGGGCCAGAAGGACAGAGTCACCTGCCAGCGAACCCCATAAAATTGCTTCAAAAACAGCTACAAAGAACTAAGAAAACCACATGTGAATAGGAATAAGCCAGTGACAAATGGTCTGCGGTCGGCGATTTGGTCGATATGTACAGACCCTTTCTCTGAGTTTCTCCTTTAGCAGCAGACTCAGCAGGTTGTAGGGCACTCGAAACCAGACTGGAGCTCCAACTATGAACACCTTCTTCAGTCGGGCAGGGAACGCACCCTGCATACAGAGACAGACAACACAACACATCAGCGACCAGAATGTGGGTGCTCTATGGAGTATTTGGAGCCTTAGTGTTTTCCCCTTTTTGCTCAACTTGGGATTTTAACCTCACGAGATGGCGATGAAAACTGGTTGTGGTTCAATTAAATATTCCAACAATAACTACTACTATTCCAAGATAAGACAAGTTACTACTACAATATTAATTATTACTACCAAGCAATTTTTTGACTGAATGCTTGAGAATAGTGAAAAATACCTTAAGCAGATTAAGGATCTTCTTGCTCAAGTCCAGCTCAAAGTTGGTGTAGTTGGATCCTGCCATGTCATAGATGAACACAAGGCCATTCCTCTGGGTCTCAAAGCTGCAGCGAGAAAGAGAGCACAGCCGAGAGGGACCCAATATTTATGCATACTACTAGTAAGTGTGCACTAACATGAATACACTCTCTGCATATTTATGAATGCCACAGCCACAAATCAAACATTATGTGTTCCATGTACATATATTATACATTTCTATGTTTGTATGCTATATAATCTAGACTGCAAGCCGCACTAACCTTTCTACTGCTCTGTCCAGCAGGTAGAACAGAGCTTGTAGCACCACATGGTTGCCTGTTTTATTGGGATGGTGAAGCTTGGCTGTGTACAGAGCTATGGAGGCACCTGAGGGGTCCCTTACTCCCTAGAGAGAAAGAAGTTACAAGTTTTAGTTTAGCTTTGACATATACACACACACACACACACACACACACACACACACACACACACTCACACACACACACACTCACACACACACACACACACACACACACACACACACACACACACACACACACACTCACCTTTCACAAGTAGGTCCTAACAAACAAAAGCACTTTTTACAGGTCAGTATCACACAACATTTAATTTAAGGACACATCCTGCAACTAATTATCATAAATGACATCATAGAAAATGACATCATAACATCCAAGTAGCTCAAGTGATGTTCTCGATATGTCCACAGGGAGGCAGAGCAGCAGAGACAATGAGAGAAACAGCAGAGGGAGACAGACAGTCTTACTGCTGATCTCCCAGATACAGACTAAGACTATTACTAGACTAAAGGTTATTAGCAAAAAGAGCAGAGTCCAAGACTTGGCTTCATCTATCTTGGGAAATGGCCTGGAAAAATTCACTTAAACTGGGAGCATGCTGACAAAAGTTGTAGTTATAAAAGTATAATAATATAAAGATAACTAACTACTACTTAATATGAAATGCAGGATATAAAGCTGTACAGAAGAAAATTAGACTGGGCCAGAGATCATTTCAATGCCTAACTCCACTTACAAATCAGCGTCTTTCTGAAGGTCAAGACACAATCAACGTCTGCTCTTTCAACACCATATGACACAGAACAAATCCATAAAACAATAAAAAGTCTCGAATTAAAGAACTCATTCAACATTCAGTAAGGCTTTTTATTAACTGGGACATAAACCATGTTATGCACATGAAGTGAGACAGTGACATACTGACGAGAAAAACAATTTGCTGTAGATCTGTCATCACTGAGAAACACTGACCTAGAGGGCTGAAGTTAGGAGGCTATTACTAGGGGTGCAGGGCTATAAATATTGCTGGCAGGATGGGGAAAAGAGGAGAAGAAGAGAGCAGTTCAATCGATTGATCCAGGGGCAGCGAGAAAAGAGGATCGTTGTCACCCGGCAGGTACATTACAGTCTTTGTGAATGAAAACAGGAATGAATGCTCACTCATCAGTGCACAACTGTTCTGCTTAGAGAATATAACAGCATTTCACAGGTTGTTGTATATTCTTCCCATCAGCCCCTCTGGCACATGCTGAGCTAACAGCAGCACTGCAGTGCTACATAAATCAGGACAGCACCAATCATCTCTGACTGGACTCACTCTCCTCACTGACACACCCTGAGAAATCCATTGACATTTCCTCTGTGTAGTGTGAGCACGCTCGTCCACCTCAGATGTTCCTGACAAATGGGAGTGTTCTGATGAATCAGAGTCTCCCTGCAGTCTGAGAAATGTAAGCAATATAATTGTGTCGGCCATCCCCCCCCCATCTCTTTCAGCTTTATTCAAGCATTACATCCTGTTGTCAATGAGTAATCGTGTTATAAATTGTATTCATTTATGAGGTACACCCACTGACTCCATGTCACAGAATGAACTGGTCAAAGAGAAAATTCCAGACTAGAACCTCTAATCACCACCTTAATCTTACTTTAAAAACCTAGCAGCTCTGTCATAATCAAAGATGAAGCCCCAGCACAAATCTGCTACATTCATCTCTGGAGCTGAAAACTCCCTCCTCTCTGAGACACAATCTGGGCTCTCGCACTGAAATCGTCTCTCTCCTTTCATTGACAGGTTGACTACAAGCTTGAATTAGTTGACACATGAGCTAAATACAGTAAAGAAGGAATCTAACAAGTTGTTATTCATGTTGTACTCCTTTTCCACCAAAAAGAAGTACAACATGAATATTTCTCTGTAATTACCATCATTATTACCATTATCATCATTCTTCTTATAATGTTTCAATCACACACAGATGAACATGTGGAAAAAAAATTCCCTCAATCTCACAAGATTTCATCTTGTTCTGCTCCATGGATTTGGTGTAGAGCAGGTAAAATTCAAGAAGGCTTATATAGGATCTGCATGTTGACTAAACCAGCTTTATACTCAGTGTTTACAGTGGTCTTATATTACATGCCACATTGCACAAAATGCAAAAAAATCTTGGCCAAACTCCATGTTAGACTGTGAATTCATGGAAGGCTCATTCTTGAAAGTGACCTGAAGGCTGGGCCAGACTAATAAGGTAGGCCAATATTGTTACTTGTGAACAATAAAGTTCTTACCTTGATTTGTGACACTCTCACACTCTCTTTCTTTCTTTCTTTCTTTCTCTCTCTCTTTCTTTCTTTCTCTTTCTTTCTCTCTCTCTCTCTCTAAGCATGTACTTCTTGCTCAAAAGACTCAGCTATTTCAGCTAACACAAGGTTGTTTTCACTTTAGTTCCTAGAGTGCCAGTAGCTTCCTCTTCTGGACATTCTTGTTAAGCTTACGTACAGACATAAGTGAGAGAGAGAAGTCAGGTCCATGAGGTGCTTTGCATCAAAACTAGCAATTCTGTCATAATCATAAAGATTATGATTCTGTCACAATCATGAGCGTGTGAGCGAGAAGTCAGGTCCATGAGGTGCTTCCTTTCCAAAAACTAGCAGTTGTCATAATCAAAGTTTATGATTCTGTCATATTGTCACAATCAATCATAAAGCCCCACGACAAATCAGCTACCTTCACCTCTGAAGGATCTGCATGTTGCCTAAGGGTAGATACTGCACATTCACAAGGCAGGCGCTAGTGGCTTCAGTACTCACCAAGATAGTGAACTTGCCGCTGAGCAGTTCAGAGCGCAGTGGCTCTTCCTGTGGCTGCAGTTTGACGATGCCCTCCCTCAGTCGTGTCTCCTGCCACCACACAGACGAGGACAGAAAAATGACTCTTCTCATATAACATTTCACTGCCTCACCCACCCCTAGTTTTGCCCCAGCATTTGAAAAGATTAAGTTTCTTCTGATTTCTTGTTGTTAACTTATTTGGAATATTTAAAGCTTTGCACCACATTCAATTAAAGTCCTTTAAAAAAAAAAAAAATTGAAAGTTGGAGAAAACATACAACATTCGTTTAAAAATGGCCTCAGTTAAAACCTCCATGCAACAAAGTGTCAACTAAAACTATATATCATTAGCTTTACAGGCCTTATATTTATGACTGAAGACAGGGGACACTCAATTTTACTGACGGAGTCCATCTCTGTATTGCCCAGGGTTGCCTAGCTATCCTTCATATCTATTATATTTTAAGCCCTGTCAGAAATATACCAGTAAACTGTGGTCTGTCTTTAGGTAACTTTTGGAGGTGGAATGGCCACTCACAGTCTGACTTCTCGTGACAGAAAATACATGAATCAGCACAGTGCTTTTATGCATGACTTGTTATCATTGATCCCATCAGTGATGGCAGCATTCAATTTACTGGTAGATTTCTATGACAATGTTTTTGGTGTGATTGCTACAAAGTGTAGATAATGGAAACTAAAGATAACACAGGGGTATACAGTATCAGTAAAACTGAAGCTGAGCTTCCTGTATCTTCAGAGCAGCTTTAGTTCCCTGAATAGCAGCTCCATCATAAGTATGAGCTTTTGCAGACATGATCTGTGACGCTGAGCCCTTGCAGGCTCTCCTGTGGGAGACGGACACCCATGACTGCTGACTAAGGCTCACACAGAAAGCTCCCCAGGCCTAATTCAGCCTGCAGAATCCAGCCACGTACTGACGGCTATTAAAGCAATTAGAGAGCGAACAAAAGCTTTGGGAACTTTCCATTCTCTCCCCCATAATGACTCTGGTTGAGGCTGATTTGATTCTGAATTACTAGCTGTTTCTTCCACTGCAGCAAAAGCCCCGTTTCAGTGGAGCTACACGGAACAAAATTAACAGCTTAGTCATTTCATTATGCATAAGTCATAAGGAATTAACATTAACAGCCTGGACAAGATAATTAACTTCTAACAGTTGGTGAAGCCTTTGAAACATTAGGTTAACTAATAGTATCAGATTCAAATGCTTTGCAAAGCCTCCTTTGGGAAAAAGAAAGAAGATGAAAGATTAGTTGTATAAAACACCTATGCTTTAACTTTTCGGACAATGGTAGCTTTAAATGATGTTAAAAGTAAGCCAAGTAATTTTAACCTGTGTGATCAGTGTCTCGTGTGGTTTCATGACCTCATGTGCAGCATTTTGATGAATTTAGTATGCTAAATTACTCAAAAGTAAGAGAAAATGTTGGAGCTACTTGTATGACTCATGTAGGTTAACAGTGATATTATATATTTACAAAGAATTACAAAAATCTTATCACTGATTTTATATTTAAATTTCATGTAGTTGTATACTTCCTTTTATGACCATATGAAAAACTGAATTATCTGGATTTGTGAACAAACTGCTCTTAAATATGATCTGATCTTCACTGATGTTACAATAGTTGTATTTGACAACAAACATTTTACAATGCCATATCTTTGTCAAGCTTGATGGAGGGAGTGTAAAAACATGGGTCTGCTTTGCTGTGTCAGGTACTGGACAGCTTGCATTCACTGATGGAGCAATAGTATCAGGAATTTTTACGAAGTCAGAGCATCTACCTGCGATCTAAAACTCAACAACAGCATTCCTCAAACAGATGAACTTAACATTTTAGAATGGCCAAATTTTTCAAGGCTTTTTCAGTCTCACTGAAATGCTGTCACTTAAACACCACATCCTCAACACATACATAAAATTAGTTTTGTGCAGAGGATGGGCCAAAATACCAGCTAACTGCTGTCTAGGACTGTTCAGCAAATATCGAAAGACAGAAAAAGTTCCCACTAGCTAATAAATATAAGGGTTAATCAATTTTACTAAAGTAATATTATTAAATAAATGCCACTGTACAAAAGTTGTTCATATTCTTTATTAGACAGGTCTTCTTTATCATAAACTAGATTATCAACTCTCAATTTGGAAACTATTAACACAGAAATCCACATATTTCCAAACTCTTCATAAACTTTTCTTCATAAAGGAGGTTACTGGACTTGGGAAATCACTGTTGAATTTAAAGATGCCTTGTGTGAGACTAAATAAATGGAGCCCCGTTGGTCCCAAAACTCAGGCATTGTTCCTTACAAGCAAAGTTTCATTTGTGTGCATTTGTGTCCACATTACTCAAAAGCTATTAAAGCACAATGAGCATCTTTAGGCTACATGGTAACACTATGCATTCTTGCGCAACCATATGACCAGTGACTGGTATTCACTGAAAACCTACCTATTTTCTCTCTCAACATCCAGTAAATGCAGAAACACTAAAGGCCTCTGTCAGTGTGTAATAAATTATATTTCACAGTTTAGTGTTGCACCTACACATGCACGGACAGTACCTATAAGCCTTTGCATGTAAGCCTTCCAACATCTATAAAGTCTTCCTTTCCTTCAGAATTTGTCATCTTCTCATGGTTCCAAATTACATTGCATATCTAACTATGTAGTTTTGGGTGAAGTACTACCTGTATTACTGTCTGTAATATTTATGATCAATTCACATGAGATAAGAAATTTTGAAATAAATAAACTGACAAGAGATGGAAGTGGCTACTTGATTTACGCACTGGCTGTCTTATGTGAATGCAGTGTCATTAGCATTAGAAATTCACAGCTAACAGTCAACATCACAGCTTACAATTTTTTTTTTCTGTAATTTTTACCTGTTTTAATGTTCTGAGTTGCACTGTAGAAGAGCGCATATCAGCTTAATTTTAGCAACAGAGAACTCAAGTAAAAGCCTCTTTAAGCCCCCATACTCAAAACTCCTTTTCCACAGAATATGATTTTTACGGACACGTCAATTTGTATAGGATTAACATAACATGGATTTACGTCTATGGATGGTTTTATAGAAGGTAAAAGGTTCCAACCTTTACTGCGGTGGGAAAGCACAGTTTGTAAAAATAACTGACATGGCGCATTTGGACAGCACTAAAATCACTGAGAACCGCCAATAAATATTACATTATCCCTCCCCATGTAAAAGTAATCCCGTCCAATTAGTGCTTTAAACTAATGTACCTTTCCTCAGCAACAAAGGTAATGTGAATTAATGAAGGTGGCTGTTGTTTTTGACATTTGCCTTTTTAGTATAGTATTTAATCAAAATTGTCTTTCAAAAATGTTCAATCTTTAATACTGAGGCCTTTTTTTAACATAATCACACATGTAGGACACTTACAAAGGTGTCAGTCTTACATACACACACACACCAGAGACTATTACATACCCTGTAGCTGTGGAAGAGCTCTATAGCTCGAAGGACATCAAACTTGCGCGCCATTAGGAACTTCACAGCCACATCCCATGACAGAGGGGAGACGCCATGCTGACTGGTCCACTTATTGATCTCCTCCAGGAACTGTTTAGTGGCCTGAAATTCATAAGCAACACATTCAGCCAGCCTTCAGCAACTCAGATCTCATACCTTACAAATCCTGTAAGGTTAGACAGTCTCTTTCAGCAAGTGAACAGAAGCACTGGCCTCTATTTGTCTGGGATGTCAGATGTTTGAAAAGCTTTGAATATCGAATATGTTTTTAAACAGCAAATTACAATCATTTCTCCAGCAGACTAAACTACAACAGACAAATGAATTTTGCTGTAACACTTGAACTCTTGCATCACCGCATTTGTTAGATTTGAGTTTAACGCTGTGCTTTTTTTTTTTTTTTGTTCAGAGGAATTTCTCTTTTAGCTGATACAGGGCTGTTGACACAGATCTCAGTTCATCAGGATATTAAAACTGCAGACAAAGCAGATATCAGTTCTCATAAAATGCCCTTTCTGAGAGATGAGAATACTCTGTGGCTCCAGGGGACTGTGGACAAAATAAGTAGGCTAATTTATTTTTAAAAAAAATCCCTGTGACATCCAAAATGCAGGTTATCAGGATATAAACAGAGAAAACCTAATCAGGGCTGTTTGTACAAGGGTATCATCATTTCCCAAAACTATTAACCTACATAGCTTTTCTCAAACAGTTTAATCAAAAAACATCAACAGCTTCCGGACAGACTCTGAGTGTTATAATCTGTTAGTGCTCACTGAAGTGAGCTGGGTGATTGGCTGCTGGAGAGCATCATCAGTAAGATAAACAGTTTATACTGAAAGAAGCCTTTTGTTGGTGTTTGTGAAGAGCCTGCGCTCTGTGCTGTGATTATAAAGCAGGAGATGCAGCAGCACCAGCAGTCAGCCCTTTCACTGGCCTGAAAGGCAGCCTCATGCACACACAGATCAGATCTCCACTTTAGACGCTCCTCAGAACTTCAAAATACGAAAAAACGAAAAGAATCACCATGAGTAGCAACAGGTCAGTACAGATAAGCTGACACTGTCTCACAGTTAACAGGATGTGGGAGAGTATTCTTGACCTTAAGACCAAGCCCATAACAGACCCGACCATTTAAAAGTGTGCACTGTAAAAGCCAGCAGACAGAATTCCTCACTCTTAAAACATGTTATCATCAACTTATGTTGTACGTATTGCATGTAGACACATGTGCAATAACACATTGTGTTCAGTCTGTATAAAGGAGGATGGCTAGAAATTTAGGCTTAGCTCTGCCTTGAGGGATTGCATTCTTTGCTCTTTACAGTACTACAGACGGAGGCCTAAAATGGATCCATGCGCTTGTGAGTGTATTGTGGGGAGTGGGCTGAGATTAGCCTACTGCAAGGGCTCAGATATCCATGTGAGGAGGAGAGGGGGGGAAAAGTTTAAATAAATAAAAAAATAAAAAAAAAAAGGTTGACTGTCAGTACATGTAAATCATTTCCTGTAAAACTAAATCACACACACAGACCAGGGCAGGGAAAACAAGTCAAAATTTAAATGTGCTTCCAGTTTCTATAAGGACCAGTGCTTAATTGCAATAAATATATAATTAATTCAATAAATACATAAATGTGAATGATTTTTTTATACTCTTGATAATGGAATGAATAAACACGTACAATAAAACATTAAGTACAATACTCTGCATACTAAATCATTAGACTAGTTTTGCTTAGTCTCATGTTTAGTATGGTTATTTTGACATTTCTGATTAATATGGGATGCTACCTGTGCCAAAATGTCTTTGGTCAAATATCTGACCTCAATAAAAACTGTCCTCAAGTCTTTCAAAGCAACTGCCAAATGCTGTTCTAAGCTGACTGCCTTAGGCTCATCAGTGTCACTACAGGTCAAGAGAGTCCGTTTAGGTTCACCAGCTCGTCTGCTTAGTCAGCAGTTGCAGTTTAATTCTGAAACTCTGGAGGAGAGATTTCTGTCGTCACCAGGGAAAACCATGTTGAGTCAACTAGACTCGTAAGTAAAAAGAAAACTCACTGAAAGGCGGCTCTCTTTTCAGAATTTAGGAACTTTCCAAATAGTGATTAATTTCATTCGCTGTGCTGCAACTTAAATTAGACTTACTGTTAGCCATGTGCTCATTTACTTTACGCATGCTTGTGAGCCCAAAGCTTACTTCAAATTATGTTCACACGTCCGCTTTATGTAATCATTTTTTCCCTCTGTATCAAAAATCAGCATTAACAAACAATTCGTGTCTATCTTGGAGCACATCCCGTTGTACAGACCATTAAATAAGCATCCTTCCCCGGGGACAGAAGCTCTGGAGCCTTCCACATACACATGCCTTATGACCTTAAAAGGACAGGACATCCTTTCACAAGCAGATGGTAAGATATCCCTGAAATCTAACATTACCCAGAAACGTGACAACAAAGGAAAGAATGGCCAGAGCTCATGGTCAGTACCTTCCTTATAAAGGTCACACATCTATAGAATGGCTCAGTGGTCTAACTGGGTGACTCTGACATGTTAAGAAGTCAACCCTGAACTGGTCCACATGTGATTAAACATGTATACGCTCACTCGGTCCCTCTGCCACGTTCAGGTTGTCAGCCATGTCTATTCTGGCATCGATCGATACTGAACAGGAAGAGCAGTGCGTCATCAGCTCCATCCATGCCTCGGTCTTTCACTTCTCTGTCGCTTTCTCTCTCACACTCACCCACTCTGCCCCCGCCCCAATGCTTCCTGGGAGATGACCCCCCTTCCCACCCCCCCAAGAGAGTCCTGCAGCGGCGCTCTCGTTCAGTGGAAATGCTTTTAGCAGCTGCCTCAGAGCGCGGTCGCTCTGGTCCCTCCGGGGCCCCCGAGCTCCGGACATGTCCAGCCTGAGATGTAATTACCCTCACCACACACATACATTCAGCACAGCCAGACCATCAGGAAATGAACAGCTCAGATAAGCCCCACTACCCTGCACCTCTCCTGAGATGGCAAAGTGGATGCAGTCCCCCAGAGTGAGAAAGAGTTTCATTCACAAACTGGAGGACAGACACCATTGGGGAGAAAGATAACAGCGTAGCTTTGTTTCCCTCCGAGAGATGTGAGCCGAAGGAGTCTGAGAGAGGGCCGATAAGGCTGGGCCTCATTCAAATGACCTGCTATAGCAGGAAAGAAATGACAGGAGAGCTTTGTTCAGGTGCAGAAGCGCTGATCCTTCCTTAAGCCTTCAAAGCAGGTTACTGAACAGGTTGTTGGCAAGATAAAAGCACAGAGATGCTCTTTAACTACATTTATACTGGCTAGCAGCTGAACCTAAACTATTCAGAGGGATTCAACGTTTCTGGCAGTCCTCTGCATGTTTTTGTACCCGGGCTCTCACACAAGCACTGTAAATAACAGGCAAGTATTATATAATGGCCGTTTCCTGTTTGAGGCCCTCTTTTATAGAAACGCTGCCCGTTTGCGGACAGGAATAACAGCACAGCGCGGCGTGCCCGTTCACCATGTGCTCCCGCTTTAACCCCAGTTTTAACCTGATATTCTTGGCCCTTCGCGACTTTCGGAGTAAATAAAGGTGAGCGGGGCAACGACGTCAGGCGTCCTGACTCATGACGTCACCGAGGCCCTGTCTCTTTTGCGGCTGAAAGCGACTTTAAAAGTGAGTCTCTCGATCTCCTGCTGCTCAGGCCAGCATCGTCTCCGACACCCAGAGACGCTCGGGCAGGTCTGCAGTGGAGTTCGTGACCCACGAGCTGACACCCCGCCCGGCCTGAGCGCAGAGAACTGACTCCCCCTCCTCAGGTCTGCGGCTGGGAGATTTCAGTCCGATACTGAAAACTGAAACTTGCTAGTTTTCTCCTCTCTTCGCGGAAACGTTGCGAAACAGCTGATTCCTGGTGTTCACTGTACCCGCGAGCAGACCCGCGGACAGACACCACCAAACCGTTCACGACACATTCATAACGCGACCCCCGCGCTCTGCAGCTTCAGCTTCTCATGTAAAACCTCAAACAGCACTCAGATGATGAGCGAGTGGTCTCATCAGGCAGAGTCTGATGGTGGTCTGTCTGTGTGTCTGAGCGCTTAACGTCACAGACTGATGCGACCAACCCCCCGTTTTCTAGGAAATCATTAGAGGGGGGGGCGAACGGTGCGTTTTAGTCGTGAAACACCCTCGGATAACTTATACCAACAGCCTGATCGACCTGAAGTCGCCCGTGTTTTTATTCATTCTTTTAAAACTGCAGTATTTCCACTTACCTGCTCCTCCTCCGCTGATAAAGTGGCCGCCATTCTTCACGTCTGTTCAAGTAATTAAGGCACCTTTTCTCCTTTTTCTCCTCAGTGCTCAGTCAGACAGACAGTCAGTCAGTCAGTCCGAGAGGGAAACGACTGACTGTAAAAACCTTCTTTTTCAAGAAAACAAACGACGACGCCGATTTCAGATTCACACGGACAGACCGAGACTAGCCTGCTAGTTAGTTAGCTAACCTAGCGGTCTGTATCATCGAGGCGCACAGCTAGTCTGAGGTAAACATGGCAAACGGAGCTAATCGGCTGGATATCGTTAGTTCGGCGATACCGACAAACTTGGCGTTTTGATTTCGGCCGAATTAACGTTACGCTGTAAGTTAATTCAGACGCGCAGCAGCAGCAGCTCACTGTCGAGCCTCGGTGCCATAACGGCACAAAAAAACGGAAAGTCTGGAAGGTTTTCGGTCAGACCATCATCGGCCAGGCCAGCGGCAGCCTCGGTGGCCGTACAGTCGGTCCGGTCAGGGTTTGCTGGCGACACCTTAAAAATCCTCAGCTAGCTTAGCGCTAATGTTATGTTAGCCAGACACAGTAACTCAGCCTCATGTCCGCCCGCTGCTCGGCTTTCAGATACCAACGACCGGACCTGCGGCGATTACAGGCCGAAAAACCCCGAAGTGTCCCTCTCTGAGATGAATAAAAGTCACTAGCACATCTGGAAGCCTCTCGTCGGTTTCAGGCTTTTATCTGTAGTTGGGAAATGGAGCTCGGAAAAAAATGCGAATCCCCCCCCTGCTGTCCACACGCGGGCACTGCAGCTCCCTCCCTCTCAGCTTCATTCATAAAAATACCACCAGAGGGAGAGGGAGGGGGAGGGAGAGAGGGGAGAGAGAGAGGGGGGAGAGAGAGAGGGGGGGAGAGAGAGAGGGAGAGAGAGAGAGAGGGAGAGAGAGAGAGAGAGGGAGAGAGAGAGAGAGAGGCGCTGCTGTAAACATAGGAACATCCCGCTTGCTCTGTTACAGATTTAGTGTCGATGGTAATCTGGTTAAAATCATTCTGTGTATAAAATAACTAGGATGTAAAATGTACGACATAGTATTTATTGTTCTGTTTTTTTTCTTTGAATGTTGTGTTAAACGTATCACAAGAAACGCTATGTTTTGCATTAGGGGTCTTAAAAATACATATAACGCCATGGAACATTTACAGTAGGAGTGGACTTTTGTGGGCGTGGCTATGTGGTTTGGAACAACATGATTGGCAGATCCGGTACCGCCCACCAGAGAGCGCCTTCTTACGCCTTTTGTTCTCACACTGACATCATTTTGGGGGAAAAAAAAAACCGCACACAAAACGCGTCTAAGTGTGACAGGCATTTAATACAAATAACCACTTTTAGAATATTTTTAACGCCTTCATGCACAACAACTACGTTTAGTATGAAAAGGAAGAATGTCACAAAACCAGCTCTGATTGGTCTAGACTGACAAAATGTAGTATAGGTGTCCCTTGGATGAACATCAGTCTCCATCAGATTTTTTGATTACATGTAATTGTCATATTTGTTTTTTTTTTTGTTGTTCTGGTAAAAGTGAGAAGTGTGACAAGACCAAAATGTGAAATAAAATTGGAAAAACTGACAGGAAAACTCACTTTTTAGCTGATTGACTTCGAAAAAATGATTCAGATTTGTACTGAGGCAAACCTATATCGTATGTCAATATAATATTTCATATATGGATAATAATGGGTTAATCTAAGCACAGCTGTAGTATAGGACTATATACATAAAGTCTATAATAACGATAATGTCATATTTGAAATAAGATCAACTTAAGAGCTTTTATCATCACACATCAAGAAAGACAGTCAGGGGAGTGGCCTTAAAATAACCGCATATATTAGTAATCTGAACTTATCATTCTTCTACATCAGTTGGATGAACTAATGAGGTCAGCAGGTTTTTTCTCCTTATCCTCCTCCTCTCTCCCCACAGCCTGTCACTGTCTTACTATTGCAAATAACCTGGACATATGCAGGGCTGCTCAGAGCTTTCTGGGAAGACAGGTGCTGTGTGTTCCTGGAAAGGAACGAGTGACCTATACCTCACATTTCTCTCAAACCACACGACTCTCAGTTCTCTTGCTGTATAAGAACATTTTCCACAACTTAGTATATGTGACAAGTAGCTCTGCGTTGGTGGCATCACTGTGGCTCACATGTATCTCTTCAAATACGCCTATAAACTGTCACATAATATATGAGATTTGAAGATTACCAGTAAATAAGAAAGTCTTGCAGCAGATCAATTTCACATGTAAACTAATGGCTGGAGCAGTTGTGCTGTCAAAAAAACAACAAAAAAACAAAAACAAAAAAAGATTTTATGGGAAAGAAATTCTGCCTTTCTCCATGTTTACCACCTTCAGTAAACAAGGCTATTTTTAATTTTCACTTCCATCGTCGCTCACATAGGGAAACTGACCACTGAAGAGGAGTGAGCCTGTGCTCTCTAAGTTCTTGTGTTTTCAGCCATTCTGTTCACTTCATAGAGAAGAACTCTCAGACAGAATGTATGTAGTTGTAGGTCATGGGTTTGCTGAGCCAGGTCGTGAAGCAAAGGCTCCAGCAAGAGCTTTGCAAAAACAGCACCACTTTCTGTGGTCAAGCACAACTGCCTCATTCTCTAAACTGAACACATAAGGTTAAAGGCACATTTGAAAAAAGAAGTGGAAAATGCTGCAACAGCAGCACGAATTACTCAAAACAAGGTTATAGCTGCCTCGTAAGAGCAGGCACGATGGTGAAGCAAGAGGCGTGTGGTTTTCAAAGTGTTTTGGTATTAGTCATTATCTGCTTTCCAGGAACACACAGGTTAAAAAAACCTACTGCTCGTAAAACAGCCAGCTCTATCAAACATGGCTATGAAAGTGTTTTGATAACAATCTGAGTTCATTTCTGAAAAGAGGTAAACACACACCCTCACAGCTAATATGACACAATACAGATGATTATAGTCAAAGATTAGTTACCTCTAGAATGAACAGCATGCTAAATTTAACCATAATTGGAAAGGGTGATGAGTCTAGCTTTGACCTGCCAGTTACATATCTAATACCTCAGCAACAAAAAGACTGATACAAAAATAATTTTACAAAATCATTGCCACACACTGCTGAAGCACTTCATAAGAATAACAGCCATGTCAGAGAAACTAGAACTACCATTTTCACCATTCTGTTCCCTTTTCGAATATTTCCTCCAGAGTTCTGAGAATTTAAATTGTCTTGCGCTGAGCTTTGAACAGCATTTTCTGCAGTCCAACTTCCCAGATTACTGTTGTTGAATCTGATACAAAAGATAATACGCAAGCCTAGGAATGGCTCTCATTTTATTTGATTTTTTTTTAAATATTCTGGAAATAAATCAGTGATGCAAGAAAAAAACATCCAAAATTTGATGAAAAGTAAAACTTTATTAATTTATTAATAGGGCCTACAAAACACACTTAAAAATTACCAAACCAATAAGTTTCCTTCCCTCATGAAATTTATCAGTCTGGTGCATGAAGCTTACATTTAAAAATCTAAATCTAAAATAAAAAATCAAAAGGCATTCATGTAGAATGTCACCTGACCAGTAGCTTTTACGTGCAAGCAGATAGATTTTTCTTGATTTCTGCATACTCCAGGAACAGAATATAAACCAATACAGGTTTTATATTTTTTCATTGCTTCTCTAATTTTGCATTGGAATTATAATGTATTAAAAAAAATAAACCTGATACCATAGCATAATGCAAATCATCACAATTTCTTCAAATCATGCTTAGTTATACCAGGTAAAGATCTGAAGATAACTGTATGAAGTTCCAAGACTACAGAGGCAAATCTATATGGAATAAAAATGGATATGGGCAACTATGTAGCATGTAAACACAGTGTAAATTCAGAACTTAGCTTGCAACCACACCAGGGGAACATGGAAAATCAGAGTAGGCAAACCTCTTTTTAACAATTAAGAAGTACAATACAGTGCTACTTCATGAAAATGTCCAGTGCAGATCAGCTTAGTTTCCATCTATGCTTATGCCACAAGAAATTGCAGCACACTCTCAGAGATTTACCTGCAACTGGTCAATGATGAACACCAAATTCATTCCATTATTACTTCTGAAGTCCACAGGCAGGCAGAGAATAAAGCTCAAATAGAGCAAATCTAGCTTTAACTCAGCAGAACTTCCAAAATCCCCAGCACACTGTAAACCACAAACTCCAGTCTGCTGAAATCCAACATTTCTCAGGCTTATCCGAAAACACTCTGTTTAGAGAATCTACGGTCCAACAGTAGTGTTCCTGTCAGGTCTCTACTCATTAGCTTTCCATGCCCTCTCGCTGGTTGCTAGTTGTTGTCTGGTTCTCTGGTGTGGAGAGATGCTCTAGCTCATATCTACCATTCTCCTCCGCAGGCCGAACCTCAGTAGATGTCTTCTTGTGCTCCAGGATCTGCTGCATTTGGTGGCTGGCATAATCAGGCTTGGTGGTGAGAGGGGACTGCGGCACCTCAATGCCTAGGATGTCTGCCACCATGTAGGGTCTGAGCCAGCCCACCAGAGGGGTGCTGCCAGGGGTGTAATGAGTCTCACGGTGGTAGAAAAGGAGACCATCCACCTGGAGAGGAACAATGAATGAATGAATAAATGAATGAATGTGTGTGCACATACTGTTTATCTTTTTAATCTTTCATTCAAAATATTAACAAAAATCTAATCTTAACCTAAAGTAAAATGATTAAAAGTAAAAACCTAAATCTTGCTATGAAATAAATATTTTTCTCAAATCTGCGTGCCACAATTGTTGGCACCCCTAGAAATCCTTCTAACTGAAGTATATTCCCATGCATATTTTATGCTTCAAAGTTCACCTGAGTGATAAGGAACACCTAAATGGTCAACATGGCATCCTGTTTTGCAGGGGGATAAATAGAAGGTGACACACACGCCAAATTCCTTTAGTCAACCATCACTATGAGACAGACCAGAGAAAACAGCAGTGATATGCTACAAAAGGTTGTTGACTTGCGCAAATCAGGAAGTGGCTACAAGAAAACAGCTAAACAGCTGTAAATGTCCATTTCCACTATCAGGGCAATAATTAAGAAGTTCAAAAGTAACTGTTACGAATCTGCCAGGAAGAGAAAGTATGTGTATACTGACTCCACGCAGAGTAAGGAAGATGGATGAAGAAGCCAAACAATCTCCAAGGATCACAGCGAGTGAATTGCAGACTTTATCAGGGCTTGGGGTCAGGACATATCCAAAACTACAAGCAGATGAGACCTCCATAACCACCAGTTGTTTGAGAGGGTTGCCAGAAGGAGGCCTCTGCTGTAAAGGACTAAAAAACTCAAGGACCTACAATTTGCAAGACGTTACTGGAACTTTCAATGGGACCGTGTTCTACGGTCAGACGAGAGACTAAAATAGAGCTTTCTGGCAACAAACACCAGACGTGGGTTTGGTGTGGACACAAAGGTAGCCATGCAGAAAAGCACCTCATCCACACTGTATGGTGGTGGACCTGTGATGTTGTGGAGCTGTGTTTTTTTTCCCCCAATAGCCCTGGACAACTTGTTCAGATACATGGTATCATGGACTCCAAGTACCAGCAGATATATCAAAACCTGCCTGTCTCGGCCAGAAAGACTAAACTAGGCCATGACCCAGCAGGACAATCATCCAAAGCACGCCTCAAAATTGACACAAAAATGGTTGACTGACCACAGAATCTAGGTTTTGTCATGGCCACCCCAGTCCAATGACCTAAACCCCACAGAAAACCTGTGGGATGAGTTGAAAAGGAGAGTCCACAAGCGTGGACCTCAGAATCTGGAGGATCTGGAGAGATTCTGTATGAAAGAATAGTCTCAGATCACTTGCCATGTGTTCTCCAGTCTCATTAAGCATTACAGGAGAAGATTCAGAGCTGTTTGCAAAGGAAGGCTGCACAAAGTATTGAATGAAAAGATGCCGACAATTCTGACATACATAGGTTTCAGAAAAATAGTTATTTCATGTGAAGATTTAGCTTTTTTTCATTCAATCATTGTACTTCAAATGAAGGTTAGATTTGTTAATATTTTGAGTGAAAGATCAAAAGGACAAGCAATAAAGAATGTTTTTTACAGCCCATTTTGCTCATGTTCACCAGACGTGTTAAAATTTGTGGAGGGTAATGTGTGTGTGTGTGTGTACATACACTCATCGAGCACTTTATTAAGAACACCTGTACACCTACTGATTCATGCAATTATCTGATCAGCCACCTGTGTGGCAGCAGTGCAGCGCAAAAAATCTTTCAAATCAACCATCAAAGGGGGGGGGGACTGATCTCGGTGATTTTTCACCTTGGCATGACTGTTGGTGCCAGACAGGCTGGTCTGAGTATTTCTATAACTGCTGATCTTCTGGGATTTTTCCTGCACAGCTGTTTCTAGAGTTTACTCAGAATTGTGCACAGAACATCTAGTGAGCAGCATTTCTACAGATGGAAATGCCTTGTTGAGGTCAGCAGAGAATGGCCACACTGGTTCAAACTGACAGAAAGACTGTAACAGATAAGCACTCTGTACAAATGAGATGAGCACAATAGCATCTCAAAATGCACGTTGAACCTTGCAGTGGCTGGACTACAACAACAAAAGACAACGTCGGTTTCTACTTCTGTCAGCCATAAACAGGAACATACCCTAATCTGATGAGCCTTGATTTCTGCTGATGCACACAGATGGTACGGACAGAATTTGGCACCAACAGCATGAATCCATGGACCCAACCTGCGTTGTTTCAACAGTCCAGGCTGATGGAGGTTGTGTAATGATGTGAGGAATGTTTCCTTGGCACTCTTTGGGCTCATTAATACCAGTCAGTCATCCCTTGAATGCCACAGCCTATTTCAGTGTTGTTGCTGGCCATGTGTATCCCTTCATGGCCACAACTGACCCCATCTCATAATGGCTACTTCCAGCAAGACAATGCACCATGTCACAAAGCAACAGTCATCTTAAACTGGCTTCATGAACACGACAATGGAAAACGGCTGTGGTAGAATGGGAGATTCATGAAAGTGCACATATATACATATATATATATATATACATACATACACACATACACATATATATATATATATATATATATATATATATATATATATATATATATATATATATATATATATATATATAGGTGCACTTTCATGAATCTCCCATTCTACCACAGCTGTTTTCCATTATATATGTATAAAATAAAATGTGTGTGTGTGTGTGCGTGTGTTGTGCTAGTACAAGTCTATTAATGTCCATGGAGTGGCCGGTCACTGTGTGTGTACATAGTGAAAATTCAAATGTGAAACTATAGTGAAAATTACAAGGATTTGTACCATTCTGTACCATTTCGACTTGTCCATTCATCATGGAATTGTGACACAATGTAAAGGACAGCAGGCGCTCAAAAAATAAAAAGCAACAAAAATGTAGATGCAACGTTTTGTTTTGACAGCAATAATATGTCTGTTACAGCTGTGTTTTAGGGATCAGTCATCAGATTTCTTGGGCTGATATGTCACTTAATGCAGTATGTGTCTGTAGATTAAAATAAATCATATTTTGACAATCTTGAAAATATTACAGAAATATTCTGCTGTATTATTATATTCCACTGATTGTTTGGCTGATTAGAAAAGATCACTGTGTAGATAAAGACAACATGAATACGTAGTTAGTATTATGACTGATTCAGTCTAATACTCAACCTTTATATAGCACCAAAAGGGTTCTTCTATTGTTATGATGTTAAGCTTGTCATGATAGAAGAACCCTTGTTGGTGCTTTTTAGAACCCTTTTCAGAATGTGCTGTAGATGACTCTATATAGAACCATTTTCCATCAAGCTGACAGACGCTTTCATGATGCAAAGAACCCTGTAATCATGCAAAGGGTTCTTTGAGTGTTCATGGTTTCATATATAATAATTTTCTTTACCAAAGAACCCTCAAAGAACCATTTTTAAGTGTGTATGTCAGCAAAATGAAGGCAAAAAGCCAGCATTTGCTACCAAAGTCTGTATGTGCGACTTTACTTTTACTGTGACTGAGTAGAATAGCGAAATATCAATGTAAATACAGCGATTTTTAAAAAAATGTCTTTGTAAAATCACTGAATCTGTGAGGAAAGTAACGTGAAACCTCACAAGATTCCAGACCCCTTACTGAAAGCTCCACCAAACAAACAAATATAAACATAAAATGACAGCTCTTACGTTGAAGCTATAGTCATGTGCCAGGGCCTTTTGGATGGACTCTGTTGAACAGCTGATGCTGTTAAGACTCACAAAACGGAACTGCAAAGAGTTACAGAAAAACAAACCACGAACAGTAAAACTACATAATGAGTACATTGTTTGGTTCATACATCGTTTTAAGTAGTGTTTAATACTTGTGATGAACTTACAGGGTTCCGTTTGCCAATCTCGGATAGTCCCTCCGCCTCTTCAACTTTTGACTGCAACCAGTAGAACCTGAACTCTGTCTGTTACATTAAAAATCTCTATTAGTCATTCTCATTCAGTTAGATACCAAGTATGTCCAGAAACTACAGATGACCAATTTGTGAACATCAGAATGTAAATTTACCCACAGGACAGTCATATACAGGATGCCCCCTCCAGCACATCACATCCAGTATGTAGTATGTTCGATCCACTTCACTATAAATACAGTCCAGGATAGTGTAATCTGTGGGGATTAAAGATCCAAGTCTGGTGATCAAGTCAAAACTATCTGGTGCATTTAAAGACCTACCAGTGATGTGTACTAACCTTTCCCCATGGCTGAGTTGTGTCTGTTTCCGCCTGGTAGCAAAGAGGGGAAACGATTCACACAGTATCCACTTTTAGTGTATGACGCAGTGGAACCCTGTTAAATATAATAAATTGAAGCGAGAGAATAAAAGGAATAAAATGGTGGAGTAACACAGTTTGATAGAGTATGTACACATTGGGCCTCATTCACCAATATCTTAAGTTTTTTCTTAAATGTGTTCTTGAGAAAGGTCCTAAGAAAAAATCGGATTCATGACGTGTTCTTAAACCTCAGAATTGTTCGCACCTTTGTGCTCTTGAGTGTGTGTAGATTCTGTTCTTACCCAAGAACAAATAAGTGAGTCAATGCTATTTTTGCATATTTGGAATTATGTTACATTTATACAAGAGAATTCTCACACGATTTCCCACTCCTGTTATCTAATCTAAAAAGAATTAGCACTTCACAAAAGGCTTCTTCTGCTATCAGGGCATTACCTCTTAACTCAGCACTTGATTTCACGAGAATCATTTTCTTTTAATCTGTCAGACTCTCATTTTCCTGTCCTATTTCTGGTTGTTTTCTGTTAGATGTGACTGTCACTATTAGAAATACCATGGAGTTCACAACAAGTAAGCCTAGATGTTCAAACTGTGTGAAGGGACAAGTGAAACAGTGGACTGGATGAATGTGAGGCCACCACCATTTTTGAGAGATTTTGGGAGATTTGAGCATAAAAATAAAAAAGCAAATTGTTAAACTGTGCCCACATAATTAAGAAACACTGATTGGTCCAAACCTTGGATGCAACAATGAGAGAGCGCTTCCCTACAGGACAGACCACCAGCAGCCAGTCAGAGCTAAGATCTGCAGGCACATCCACCAACCACTCTGACAACATCAGCTGTTGAACGAACAGTTGAATGAATAATGATGAGACATAGAAACACATGATAAGATCACTGTAGCTCCTAGATGAAGCATCTCTGTTATGCAAGAACAATTTGGCTACCTTCACTTTAATATAAACTGTGGTGTTATTACATAACATGTGTAATTCAACTTTACAAACACTCGCCATGTTTACTACATTCTGACCTGGTTGGCATAGTGTCTTGGCAACTTTTTCCGTTGCTCAATTTCCATTCCTTCATCCTCTGCCTCATCCTGCTGGCTCTTCTGAGTCTTCTCCTCCTCTTCGTCACTGTCCCCCCCTGTCCAGTCTCCATCTGCCAAACGGCGGGCGTGATTCACGTAGTTTAGCCTTTTCCTACAAGCACAGCATCTTCATTTAGAAACAGAGCCTATAATAAGCTGCTGAAACACATCATACGTTCATCTTAGAATACTAATATAGACCAAAATTTCTACTCAGACTTTCAAAGTAAGGTGCCCTACTTGACTGACACACGTGGACCGCACTGCTGATTAGTTAAAAGAAAAGCAAGTGTATAAGGCAAATTTCTGCCATATCTCTGCAAGCAAGTAATAGGAATGCATGATGAAAGCAGAAACATATCAGTATCGACAGATACTTGCTTGACAGGCGTTTAGATATTTATTACATCCAGAAGAGCAGAAAGTTTAGGTGATGCTGGGATACTATGCTACAACGTTAATCATTTTACTGCACTTTGTAAGCTGTTACATTTCTCTGTATTAGTAATCCAGGTGGATATAATCTCAATTTCTACATTTTACTAATCTTTTTCACCCAAGTATATACTACTTGTATATAAAATTATCATGTAGTCCACATAAAGCAGGGGCATCCAAAAACTTGACCACATAGGTTTAAATACAGAGTCTCTAGTGAGTCAGTTAGAAAATTGAGGACAAGAAATCTGTGGCCAGGCGACATGACAGTACTGGCTGCATCCAAGTCCCATCACTAAGAAAGTAGGGGGTCCCAAGTTTCCTAACATTTCTACTACATATACAATATGTACAGTATGTAAATTTACTCTTTTTGTTGCTCAAGGAATCTCCTGCGCCGCTCACTCTGCTCCAAAACACTGTATTTGCTCTTGTACTGAGCCAGGCGGGGGTGGGGGGCAGATGTGCTGTTGGCCTCTCCAGATACGGAGAAGCTGGAGGAGAGAGCCTGGGTCAGGGCATCCATTACGGATCTACAAACACAGAAGAGTCCATCTTTAAGCCGGGAGAGCTGAACACACAACACAGTCAGGCTTTAACAAGAAAGTGTCAAACGACAAATAGGCAGCGTTTTCCTCTCACAGGCCCACTCACGTGGGAAATGCCAGCTTGTCATACCTGTGTCTACAAAGCTGAACTTTTTTTTCCCGTTACACCTTAAGTAGTGCAGCAGCTACATGTAGTTAACTGTTGCACCATTCAAGGCGGAACGAGAAAATTCAAACAAGATGCTAACGAATAGAAAGCCAACTTCAGCCTCGTCATGTGTTTCGTTCGCACATCATTTTTGCTGAGGTGAACTCCACAGAGTACGAGCTAACCTAGCTGTACGAGACTGTTAGCAGAAAATGAGTAATTAGCTTCACCTGTAACGTTAGCTGTCAGTTCTATAAATGTTTATCTCAGTATCAGTGGGATAGCTAGCTTACTAAAGTTAGCCCCCATTTCCAAGGCAGCTGAAAACGGAATCCACACCGCTGGCTTTCTAGCTAGCTTGCTAACCTACGTTAGCATGCTAACCAACACTAGCTACGATTTTAACTCCTCGGCAACTCACAGCTCGTACCGCCCGACTCTCAGTCAGAGAGGAGTACAGTTAAAACATATTTCCAACCAGTATAACTCGAACCTGTTGCTGTGGAGGCGGCTGGGAGTGTAGAGTGAGTGTGGCAGTAACGCCACAGAGAGACAGACAGCAGAGTTTCTGCAGCCCCGCTCACATCTCCCTCTGCCCCGCTACGTCACCACCACCACTGCACTGCTGCCGCTCATCCTCACAGCAGTTCCGTCAGGCTGGAAACACCACCGCATTTTCTATACCGGCTGTTTGGGAAAAAAAAGTGTTGGGCGATATCAGTAACAATTCTGTATAACCGTAGGAACGCATATATATTTCATATTACTCAAAAAGCCCAGCTTTAAAGGGCTCATATAATGAAAAACCTAATTTTCCCTCACATTTTATAAAGAAATGAGTTTAATGTAATATGTAAACATCGCTGAATCTCAAAATGTACTGCTCACTCCTCAGTATATACAATCCTTTTCTGAAACCTAAGCAGCAGGCTTTAGTTGTTTTAGTGATGTCACAAAAACCTACATAATCGAGTCATTCCAGAAATGGTGCCATTTCCACTGTGCATTTTTCAAAATTTTCATCTACAGTATTTTTTTTTTAATTCACAACATGAAAGATATGTTAATTGTCCAAAAAATATTTTCCCACCGTGCAGCACCCCGTCACGGACAACATGTACATTATTTGAGTATTACATAAAATAAATTTTAAAAATCTAATGTTTTCCTACTAATAAAATGTTCTTTTTTGGAAACCGTCATTAGAAAATATATCATTTAATCCGTTTTTTTTTTTTCATTTTTAGATTCTTAATCTTGAAATATGAATTTGACATGTCAGTGGCTTCATTGTACAAAAATACTAATTCACTTCAAAATTTCCAAAAGTTACATTGATTTGATTAGTCCACAAATGTTATGAATCTTTCAGTCTCATTGAATAATTTTTTAACAAAATGGCCCTGTGACAGGGTGGTAACTGATGTGATGGGGTAGTACAGACAAACGGTCTCTCTATATGATCTGGTGGTTTTAGCCTTCATTTAACATTAGAAGCTTTTGTTAATTCTATATATAAATGCAGGCATGACTTAATGATACAACCCTGTTTTCACGCTGTGACGCTGTGCAAAATGTAAATAAAAACAGAATGCAATGATGTGCAAATCATTGAAACCCTATATTTAATTCTCAAATTAAATATATCATAAGCAAATACTAAGAGAAATGAAAAACATTATCATTTTTTTGAAACATATATGCCCATTGAAAAGTTGAGTCAGGGGCAACAAAACACTCGTAAACTTATATTATGCTAAAAAAACACAGGGTGAAACATCTCATGACTAATTAGGTCAATTGGCAACAGGTCGGTAACATGATTGGGTATAAAAGAGCATCTCAGAGAGGCTGAGTCTTTCAGAAGTAAAGATGGGGAGGGGTTCACCACTCTGTGAAAGACTGCACAAGCAAACAATTCAAGGATAACATTTCTCAACATAAAATAGCAAAGAACTTCATCGTCTACAGTACGGAATATTATTAAAAGATTCAGAAAATCTTCAGAAAATCTGTATGCAAGGAACCAAAAACCAAAAATCAGTACTGGCGGGCCCTCAGACAGCACTGCATTAAAAAAAGACATGATTCTGTAGCAGTATCAAATATAATGGTCATGGACACCACAGTCTCAGATCTAAAGAGGAGGGGGACCATCAAGCTTTGTTATCAGTGCACAGTTCAAAAGCCAGCATGTGTGATGGTATGGAAGCACATTGTTGTGTGTGGCATGGACGTGACTTGCACATCTGTGTGGGCACCATTAATACTGAATGATATATACAGGTCTTGGAGCAACATATGCTGCCATCCAAATGGCGTCTTTTTCAGGGGAGGCCTTGCTTATTTCAGCAAGACAATGTAAAACCACATTCTGCATGTATTACAACAGCATTGCTCTGTATTAAAAGAGTCCGGGTGCTAAACTGGCCTGCCTGCAGTCCAGACCTGTCACCACTGAAAATATTTGGTGCATTATGAACTGAAAAATACAACAAAGGAGACCCTGAACTGTTGAGCAGCTGAAATCCTATGTCAAGCAAGAATGGGAAAACATTTCACTTTCAAAACTACAGCAGTCGGTTCCCAAACGCTTACAGAGTGTTGGTAAACTATTAAACTAAACAAAAACTGACCATTCAAAATGTGAATAAAATCATTAATAATTCAAACATGCAACATTCAGAAATATGATTAAAAGAGCATTTATTGGGTGAGTGAGTGAAAGAGTGAGTGAGTGAGAGTGAGTGAGGGAAAGAGTGAGTGAGTGAGTGAGTGAGAGTGAGTGAGTGAAAGAGTGAGTGAGTGAGTGAGTGAGTGAAAGAGTGAGTGAGTGAGTGAGTGAGTGAGTGAGAGTGAGTGAGTGAAAAAGTGAGTGAGTGAGTGAGTGAGTAAAAGACATAGTAGAAGATCCCCAAATGGTCAAGTTCCTAATCTATACATACATTCATTCAATTTGAAATATCATTTTCTTTGCTTACTATTGTAAAAAGTTTAATACTTTCTGTTTTTCCTATCTATTTTGTGTGACAGGGTGGTTGGATTGAGTTTGACGGACCCTGTCTAACATGAAACAGCAACATTTAAACAATGTAAAAGAGTATCACAACTTGCCCACTTTGTTCCTGGCTGCTCCAAAGGCTCAAATGATGTGACTCACTCTTTGTGATGCCATTTAAAGCAACAGAACATTATTTATAGACAAAACAAGTTAGGGTGACAGTCAAACTGAGGGATGCACACAAATCATAAAAATTTTACAAAAACTAATGTTTTTATTTAGAGTAAATTTATCGTATGTAAATGGGGACCCACATATAATCCTGAAAATAATAAAGATTTGATAAAAATCTAACTATCTATCTATTTGGTGATATTTTAGATGCAAATGTAATGTGGGTGAACATGGGCATGTGAAAATGGCCTTGTATTAATGAAAAATGAATAAAAATAGTATGTTAATGTTTAAATAGCATTGTTTCAAACATCATGTTAACAAAAACACTTGAATTAATAGCTTTAAGCTTTGGAAACACTTTGGCATATTTTTGTGCCTTATGCATCTCATCAATGTTGTGGGCACAAATGGCACCCATTTCATAGAATGACTCATTCACATAAATAGCCTCTTATTCAGCCTACTGCAGTTTAGCCCCGTCTGTTCACACTGACATGTGAGGCAGAGCAATCTGAACAGAAACTGTTCACAAATATCTTTCTTAAAGGCAGACCCTGCCGAAAAAATATAATCCATAGAATCCATTAAAAATTTCTGCTGTTTCCTGGTGGTGTCCAACAGTCACTGGTGGCGTTTTGTGTTTTCCTGATGGGTTGATATCACAGTGTAAAAGATCCTAACGGTTCAACAGTTGCTCTGGGACTGATCAGGGGAGCGCGAGGAACGACCTAACACAGGGCACAATTTAACACAGACTTTTTATGTTGTTATACAGTGTCAAGCAGTGTGTGCTTCTGGCCACATTACCACATTTCTTAGCCTGGTCTCCTGAAAAAATTCAGAGATCTGTGCCAAAGAGTGTTTTCAGGGTACACAGGGTTTTTCAACACATGTTTTTTTTGGTTAGTGAGCTGTTTGTAAAAATCACAAAATTCAACCTTATATTACTGTAATCACCATCTTGTTGCTGACAACGTAGCACTGTTTTGAAACATGTGACAAGCTCAAAACAAGCGCTAGTTAGGCTTAAGTACAGCCTTCATATTGAGGGGTTAGTCATTACACAGTATTACAAATGAGCCAGCTTTAGTTAACAAAGACAAATAAAGATAATTTTGTCCTTTTGATCCATACGTTTACACAGCTTTTAAGATGAAAAAAGAAAATGAAACATTCTTCAGCTTTATTAACACCTTTCAGGCGTTAGTATTTTGGTTTTAAATAATTATATTAATGAAATTGACATTAACAGCTGGTAAAGCTGCAGTTATTCAGAAACAATGATCCATATTTTACTGATGTGTGATGGTTTTTATCTGCTGTCTTTCACTGGACAAAAAAAATAAAACTTGTCATTGTTTGACACACAGTTTCATGTCAGTGTTCACATATGATTTGATGTGTGTGTGTCTGTCTGTCTGTCTGTCATATAAATAGATAATATACAATGCAGAATGGTTGGAAAATATATGTTTCTTACAACATAGAATAATGTGGAATTAACTTTGTTGCACTAATTCATCAGACTTTTCTAGCAAGTGTTACGACTAACACTCTAAAGTTAACCCACCCATGGGGTAAACTGTAACATTGGACTTTCCGTCATTTTCAGTGGAATTGTACATGAACGATAGGTGCTAGAAACAAAGTTCAGGTGTTCGTTTGTAGCAGAGATGTATATGTTACTTGTATAAAAACATGATTATACCAACTTAAATATTTTAAAAATTATTTCACAAAAAACAAAATGTGTTAGGTTGTGCCCCGCTCTCCTCTAGAGATGTATCTGATGGTTTCTTAATCAGATCTAAAGGTGTCCTACCCTGTTAGAAATAAAAGTGCTGGTACCTTTTTTCATTCATCAAGGCACAAACAATATAGACATACCCACAAAGGTACAGCAGTAGTTTTAAGGTCCTATTTTGTACTTTTAATAAATTCCTCCCGTGTGGAAAAGTATGTATTTGTACCTTTTCATAACCGAATGTTTTAAAACAGAGCAATTAAATAAAAGTGTGGAGTCAATACAACTTACGGTACAATTACGTTTCCTGACTAACGGTGCCAAGATGTACCGCCCCAGTGACAGTTTCATATCTTTATTTCTGAAAGTGCACAGGAAACTAGTGGTTATAAGTGGTAACCATTAAGCCAGTTCCCGTAAGAAAGCAAACCAATGCTTTTTTAATCCTAATGGTTCTAATCCTCTTTTTTCAGCAGGCGAGTTTAATTAACAGTTTAAGTGATAAAGAGAGGTTTGAAAATGGGCATCTAAAAGTGAATTATGATTGTGTAGGGTACATAACGCTGCTGTCGGAAGAAAACCCGTTCCATTTTTGACATTTTTCAGTTTTTGACATAATTTGAAAATGCCTGATGCCTTTTACACTGTGTGTAAATTTCATGATGAATGAACCAAAAGAAACGGCCCACAACGACATGGAAAAAAGTCTGGTTCCATTGACTTACATTAAAAGTAAACTAGATTTTTTCCTCCTCCTGTTTGGACGTTTTGTTTCGACAACAGCGATAAGTACGTCACACACTTGTCCCAAGTCCAGAAGAAAATGCGGGATATGGACCCTTTAAGGTCCTGTGTTGTCTTTCCCCAGCGCGGCCACCAGACGGCGGCACAAAGCTAGTTTTTAATCCGTCCTCTCGTCTAAATAATGGGGGGCTAAAAAACCCCACAAAAACTTTCCTGCACTCATTGTCCGTGTCTCACGTCATGGAAAGAGTTGGGTTACTTCGGTGCTGAACGTAAAGGGATATACTCGCCGAAGAGAACTGAGGAGAGGAGACCGGGGCCCTGAACTCAAACCCTACAACAACAGGAGTGAAAACAGGACGAACAGGACTCTGAGAGAGAAAAGCAGCGTTTTGTTGGTAAAATGGAGCGGGCTGGTGACGGAGTGAGGCTCGGGTCCCAGGATGCCTTCACCATGTCTGTGTGTCTTTGTGCTGCTGCTGCTGAGATAATGTTTTGATATCACGCGTGTGCGTGTGTTTGGGAGGCGCAGAGCTTTGTGTTTTTCTCCTTCCTCCTCTGTGGCGACCAGTAAACACTCAGCACAGGATTATTACTGCAGCACGGTCTTCACTGCGAGCTGCATTCGGTGTCTTTGGTGAGTTAGCCGGTGTTTAAATAGCCGAGCTGAGGATTTGTGTTCGCCTGCTGGACCAGAAACAGGGGAGCTGGATTTAGGCGGCCTTTGGATTTTAAAGTTTCTTGCGAAGATTCATATTTAAGGCTGAATGCTGGATCTGGACTTGTTATTGTAACTGGAAGTTCACGCGTTGAGAATGTGAGGACTTTGGCTTTGAAGTATTAAAATGTAGCACTGAACTGTTTGAGAAGCGTTTGGATCTGTTTGTATAAAAATATTTTTTTGTTCCACTAAAAAAGCTAGAATAGCTTACAGACTGTTACTGTTATATAAGCACAGACTGTTTTCATTAACATTTAACACTGTAGGCTGCTTTGCCCTCGCCTTTGTATCTCCAGATTAGACCCTTTTTGTTACAGATCACCTGATTGGCACCAAAGACATAACTAGGCTGCCTTCTTTGTGGGTTTAGTGTTTTTGCAGGCAGGTTAGTTTGTGAACGGACTACATTTTCAACATTGTTCAACAGTATGGAAGGGAACGCTTTTACAACCAGTAATCAAGTGAAGCTTTGAGTTCTGCTGTGTCTGTTTGGTTTTTGTTTACAGTTGTGAGATGAGGTGAATCACTAGAGAGACTAAAGGAAATTGATCTTGTGCCACGCTCTTTGTTTTCGTCTTGCTCTCTGGCATCTGAAGAAGTCAAAATGTCACTGAAAGCCAAAGCACTTTACACGTTCCAAAGTGAGAACAAGGAGGAGATCAGCATCCAGGAGAACGAGGAGCTGGTGATTTTTGACGAGAACTCTGTAGACGGCTGGCTGCGGGGAGAGAACAGTCGTGGGGAGAGAGGCCTCTTCCCGGCTTCGTACGTGGAGATCATTCGGCCGCGTTCCAACTCGAACCAGACTGACTGCTCCCTCAGCCCTGCGGGTTCACCGGGCAAAGACTCGCCCTACTTCCTCCACTCCACCAGCTACGACGATGACGATGATGATTGGGATGACTGGGATGATAGCTCTACAGTGGTCGAAGACGAAGACCCTCGCAGAGCGGTGGGTGCGAACGGCCATGCTCACCAGAGCCCGTACCCCAACCCCAACGTGCATTACCGCGCCAAGCCCCACATGGAGCGCCAGGACAGCATCTCTAGCTCCAGGAAAGGCAGTATGGTGGGCCGGAACCTCAACCGCTTCTCCAGTTTTGTGCGCTCAGGGGTGGAGGCATTTGTCCTCGGCGACGTGCCCATGATGGCGAAGATAGCCGAGTCCTACTGCATAGAAATGGGCCCTCAGGGGCCTCAGTGGAAGGAGAGTCCTCAGCCTTTTTGCTGCTCCATTGAGGACCCCACCAAACAGACCAAGTTCAAAGGCATTAAGACGTACATTTCCTATCGAGTCACTCCCAGTCACACTGGCAGGCCTGTGTACCGCCGCTACAAGCACTTTGACTGGCTGTACAACCGCCTGCTGCACAAGTTCACTGTCATCTCCGTGCCCCACCTGCCCGAGAAGCAGGCCACTGGGCGCTTCGAGGAAGACTTCATCGAGAAGAGGAAGAGGCGGCTCATCCTGTGGATGAATCACATGACCAGTCACCCAGTGCTCTCTCAGTACGAGGGCTTTGAACATTTCCTCATGTGTGGAGATGACAAGCAGTGGAAGCTGGGCAAGCGGCGGGCGGAGAAGGACGAGATGGTAGGGGCTCACTTCATGCTCACCCTCCATATCCCCAACGAGCATCAGGACCTGCAGGATGTGGAGGAACGCATCGACTCCTTCAAGGCCTTCGCCAAGAAGATGGACGACAGTGTGATGCAGCTGACACACGTGGCCTCTGAGCTCGTCCGCAAACATCTCGGAGGCTTTCGCAAGGAGTTTCAGCGGCTAGGGAACGCTTTCCAGTCCATCAGCCAGGCTTTCATGCTGGACCCACCATGCAGCTCCGACGCCCTGAACAACGCCATCTCGCACACCGGACGGACGTATGAGAACATTGGGGAGATGTTTGCGGAGCAGCCCAAATATGACCTGTTCCACATGCTGGACAAACTATCGCTGTACCAGGGCTTGTTGTCCAACTTCCCAGATATCATTCATTTACAGAAAGGTAATGTGAAACTCTGTCATAGGAGTTATTCTATAACAAGATGTTTGTTTATAATAATTATATAAAAAAAAAGACTGCAAAAAGTTTAATGGCACAAAAAAGATTAGACCACCATTTTAATGGGGATTAACAAAAGAAATTGAGTGATAATAAAGCCTACATATAGGGGTAGGCGATATGGCAATTTATCATATCACAATATCATATCACGATACATTTTTGTGATATTTAGTATGTATCACGATATTTTGATACACAGTCACAATGCAGTAATAGTGCCACATTTAAAAACTGACCCTAAAACCTTTATGTACAGTGATATTTATTCAGCATTTCACATTCTGCACTAAAACCAATCAAACAGGACTAAAGTTCTCTTTTAAATCAAACATAAAGTTGTTTAGTTTTCTTGAAGTACTGGCAGTGTCTATGATATGCTCACAACAGCATATATCCATTATGATAACAAAATTTATCACAATAACAATAAAATGTTGTTGTATTGCCCACTTCTGTCTACATACTAATGTGGGTTGGCTTTCCCAAAAGTGTCATTGCCTTAAGATCACTGTTAAGAGGCTAAAGTGGTAGGAATTGCACATATTTTACCATTTAATAGTGGTCTTTCCATCATGGCACTTTTGGGAAAAGTGCCCCAGATTGCTGTTGGGCAGCTTAGCACATCTGCAAATTAAATTGTGGGAATTTATAGAAAGTAGAAACCTCAGGAGAGTGAGATGTCAGTGGAAATGGCATTTTGTGGTGAAGAGGCAGTGCCAGAGTGATGAAGAATCTCGCAGCTTAGGGTTCTGAGCGACGTGTCATGATGGCGTCATAGATAGTCTAAAAGATCTTCCCACGTTTATGAAGCATATGAGGATTAGGAGTGTTGATGTAGTGTCATCTCTTTAATCCATGTAATTGCGTTAAAATGCAGAAGTCTGATCTTTTGCTGAATGACCACAGTGCACTAATCTTTCATCTTTCTCTCACTCTCTACAGCTGTTTTCCAACCTCTGTAATATATAGTAAAAAAAAATGAACGTTGCATTTGCCAACATGGCGAGTTTGTGCTTGCACAGCAAATTTTTTACAAGTAACTGTTCTGTCTCATGAGCAGTTCAACCCAGTAATCACTGAGGGATTGCAGAGCCACGTTCACAGAGAGAGTGCATTGTTATATTATTTTACCCCTCAGTTGCCCCGATTGTGAAAGAGCTGCCCTCATTCCCATCCGCAGTATTTGAATATTTGTAGCATTGCCAGATTTCAGCTGTCAGCATGAAATGTTTTGAACTGAGCTGTTTAGTTTTTTATGAAAATATTATAGCTACTTGAGTTGGTTGTTTTAAGAAAGATTTCTCTGAATTAAGACAGAAGACGCGAGTGACAAGTCTGAACTTTGGATTTTGTATTTTTGCCAAGTTTTGCGTTGGAGTTCAGGCTTATTGAGGGAGTAGTTTGTTGTATTTGGCTAACACAGTCCTTTCCTCTGATAAGATGTGACCCAGAAGAATAATGTGATTCCTACTAAGCATTTCCATTGTTCCTCAACATTCCATTAGGCATATCGGAATCATATCAGTGTCGTAGGGCTGAACGATTTGGGGAAAATGTCCAATTGTGATTTTAAATTATGTAACTATGATATGAATTGTGATTATTTTCTATAAATTAAGATCCAGGCATTTTGCTTTTTTAGCCAAGAAGACCAGAGTCTGCACTTTTCTGGTTTGAGGCTTTAACGCTGTGCACCAGTTTGCAAGTTAGTTGTGGTTGTGCTGTCACATACACAACATATGGATGTTTGGTTGTTTCTGATTGGTCTAACTCATTTTCAGGTGGACCACGATACTTCTATAATTAAGTTAAATTTCTCACTTAAAACATATGACAATGTTGTTCATGATATAGGCTATAATTGAACTTCCAACTCTTGCGATTTTGCACTTTTTCAAATTGCACAGATAATTGCACTAAAAAGATGTATGTTGGTATCAGACAGATGTTTATATTTGCCTCATATGTCAAATAGATATTTAATGACATTTATTGTGCTCTGAAAGACTAGAATGTTTTGGCAACACTGGGCTGCTGTGCTAAAATGTCTGCATTTTATTAATGTTACTGCATTCATAACCCTCTACCAATAAATGTTAGATTATTCTGTCATCCTACACCAGGTAGCTCCAAATCTACTTGTTAAAGGGTGAATATCATGAAAAAAGTTTTCCCTCACTTGTTTTTGAAGTAAAAAAGTTTGATGTGGGATGTAAACATTGCTAAAGTTTCAGAATGCATATAATATATATAAGATAATTTTGAATTCATTGTTTCTATGATGCCACAAAAACAGTGCATTTATACATTTCCCCCTATTCAACCTACAGTAGTTTAGCCCCACCCATTAATGCCAAGGGTATAAGGAGTGCTTCAGCTAAGACTGCTTCTTGAATGAGACACAATACAGGATAGCCTGTTGGAAAAGAGCTTATTTACATACGTTGGTCCTAAAAGTAAAGAAGATGGAAAATGGTAATGTAAAGATGAATTATGACTGTTTTTGGTACAGAACACCACACAAATATTGGATGGAGTATTATATAGTATGGAAACTTAAATACAAAGTGGATCTCAGTAGGGAAAAATAGTATTTATGAGCCCTTTAATGTATCAGCATTGGAAGATTTATGCATATGTTAGTACTGGATATCAGCATCGATCCACAGTTCCAATGTCAGTGCATCCCTACCTTCCATCTAAATCAGACATGGACTGTTAATTACTAGCTTTAGCAGAGCTGAAATATTGTCAAACTGTTCTGGGCTAAAGCTGTCCAGGCCTGTTACCTACAGTTCTAGCCTTGATTTGCATTTGTGTATACAAGTATGTATTGTTAGCCCTTTTTAAAAGTATGCCTCATCATTCACAATGCAACAGTTAAAGATAGGGAAAGTGAACAAGAGAATTCTTATCCAAACTCTGCAAAGCCTGGATTCAGAACCATGCCAGCCTAAGAAGAATAGAATGCCATGAATCAAGCGAGGCCTCTACCAGCCTATAATAACCCCATTGTAACAGGTATAATACAAAAGCTCATATTTTAGGGCACAGACGCCAAAGAGGTCACAACAGTAATCATAACTCATGTTCGTGCCTATTATTAGTTTCCCGGAGGTCCTGCTCCATGTCAGGCTGAAAAGAACAGAATGAATGAATCACGTCTCACTTATCCTTATGAAACGTGTCTTTTTGCATTTACAGTCGTGGAACTGTACAGTGTTTGCTGAAATGGGCTCTCTAGATGGTCTGCTGTTAGTAGGTGAACTACTGGAATCCCAGAGTAAAGCCCTGAGGGTGTGGTGTGGGCCACATATGGGATTGATGAAAGAAGGGCAGGGGAAGAATGGGAGGACCACAAAATATAAAACAGAAACATCCGTGACACTGTTTACCAGACAGACAGCCTTTCTGATGGTGGGTATATCATGGCCTCCAGGGCTGCATGTCAGAGGTACTTGCTGTTTGGATGGGGGCTTGATTGTGGCTTATTGGTGGGTGTAATGTTTTTTGTTGAGCGGAAGGAATATCCACACTGCTGAAGCTGTTGATCATTAGTCTTACAGGTTTTTTCAGTGATTCATGACTTTCTCAGGAATTGTGGGTGTTTTCCGGTCAAGAAAGGCTTTGATAACAATCTTGCCTCCATAAAGCGAGCTTTCGGCTCCTGCTTCTTAGAGGCGGACGCTCTGTCCGTCAGATGGATCTATATTTCTGAGTAGCTCAGGCCAATTGCACCTGCTGGTGTTTTGTTTCCATGAAAGCCAGGCTGGGAGACAATAGAGCAGACCTGCACAGTGTCTCTGGTGTCAGTCTCCCGCTGCTGCAGAAATAGATTGAGCAATGGGAAATCTGAGCAGGTATTTCCCTTATCCGCATACACTGTGACCATGCAGCGAACGATCAAAGAGAGCTAATCAACAGAGTTAAAATAACAAATGTACAAGGGGAAACAAAAACACTGCGCTTTGAGTACGCTCACTGGAGTTCTAATACTCAAGCAAGTCCATAGTTGTGAAATCTGTTCTGGAGCTCCTGGAGCCTTGACCTGAAGCTGCGGGTCAGCCTGCGGCCAGTGTGATTGAACTAAATGTTTCTAGAGCTGTCAGGGGTGTGTGTGGAATGTAAATAGTCGAACTTGATTATTCTTTTTGTTGTTTTTGGGGCCTTTCATGTTTTGGGGTGTAGTTTAAATTGTTGCATCATCTTAAATAGACTTGCTTATGTGGTTTCTGACATCTTTTGTCCATTTTTATAAATGTATGTCATACAGTGTCAGAAATCACACGTTTGAGATCAGTGGTATGAGACAATGGTGATTTAGGCAAACTAATTGGTACAGAATAAGCTTCCATTAGTAGCTACTTTAGACTGTGTTATACTTCCATTGATCCTACAAGGAAATTTGTCATTTAGCTGCCTAATTATGCTCAGTTTAGGAACAGCATAGTGTCACTAGCAGAACAGTCCCACCTGGGGCAGTGGGGGTTTAAGCGAATTGACCAAGGGCGTAGCCAGGCATACCCAGCCAGTCCTGAGATTTGAACCCACAACCTCCCAGGTTGGCTTAAGTAGAGTAAAGGCCACCCAGTGAAAGTGAAAACTTCTGAACTCTGGTGGGGATGCACCATGATACTAGAATTGTAATGTTATCAAAAGATATTTACTTAAAAAAAAATAGCTAAAACTGTGCTTTGCTGGGCGGCACGGTGGCGCAGTGGTTAGCGTGGTCACAGCAAGAAGGGCCTGGGTTCGATTCCCGGCCGGGCGACCAGGGTCATTTCTGTGTGGAGTTTGCATGTTCTCCCCGTGTCTGCGTGGGTTTCCTCCGGGTACTCCGGTTTCCTCCCACAGTCCAAAAACATGCAGTCAGGCCATTTGGACATGCTAAATTGCCCCTAGGTGTGAGTGTGTGTGTGTGTGTGACTGTGTATGTCCGC